ATATATATATATACACATGTTATTTGTCAACGTTAAATATTAAGTAATTGGCCAATAGTTTTACGTTTTGAGAAGAAAATAGGAAGGAAGAGCAGTTACATTATCGACACGACGTAGTTGTGGACAACCGACTGCTACTAGGTAGTTCGCACGGCGCTCGTTGGCGCTACGAGCAACCGCCCCGCTTGCCCCCCGATCCCCGCGCCTATTCCGCGATTCAGTGACGCGTTGTGTACAAAGTCCACAGATTAGATAAGTAATTGCCATCTTGTATTCAAGTTCATTCTCAGAATATATATATATTGGTAGAAACAATTGGAATTTCAGAACAACATTTATTACTGCAAGTGCCAAGTGTTGCAAATATTTTCTCACTGAACTTTTTTTTGGAATAAATTAAAAAATGTTAAAGGTATGTATGTTTATTATATTATATGGAGAAATAATATATAAAAGAAATAATAAATTGTATTTGTACAGTTTATAATAATTATCCAGAAACATGGTCTCAAGAACAGATTGCGATAAGATTATACTCGTTTGATTTGTTTTAGTTAAAAACAGAAGACTTTCTGGTCGAGAAACGTCCGTCTTGTCTACAAAGCGAGTTAATAAAAGCGTTAAATGTTTTTTTTTTTTTATTCTTTTGTAATATCCACGTATAAAAATAAATAAAAATAAAAATTTATAAACAAAAATAACAAAACTTTAGGTTATGCGAGGTATCAAGGTGACTGAAAAGATACAATGCATGAAAGTTTGCCAAACAACTTCGCTTTTCGTGAAATTTTGAAAACGTATGTGAAACACACATAATCGTGCACGCCTATAGAGTCCGATCATTGTGCCCCGCGCGCTCATTGGTTCACATTTATTAATTCATATCTCACTAACTATTGCGAATTTCGCAAAATGATAAATAACTTCTCTGTTCAGAATGACCCGATCTACCTACCTACACACGTCAGCTTGTTTGTTCGTTGTCAGACACCCTGTGTATATATATATATATATATATATATATACAGGGTGTTTGGTAATTGCTGTTATTTTCACCGCTAAAACAAATGATCTTTTTACAGGGCATTACAGCTTTCGTGACTGGTGGTGCTTCTGGATTGGGTCGCGGTACTGTAGAAAGATTTGTTAAGCAAGGTGCAAAAGTAGTTATTGCTGATTTACAGATATCCAAAGGAAAAGCTCTAGCCGATGAGCTGGGAGAGGCCAATGCAATATTTGCATCTGTAGATGTGTGTACATTTTAGTTTTTATATATTGTGTTGTGTTATATTTTTTTGTTGTAAAAACTATATTTTCTCTTTATTTATATTTATTTTATTTTCTATTTCTTATATAACACATTATGTGTATACTATCAAATACAACATTCTTATTTCACCCTAAAGTATGGAGTGTGACGCAGCTGAACGATCTGTAAGCGCGCGCGTGTGTGTGTGTGTGTGTTTTGTACATTGATTACAACTTTATAATTTTTTTGTTATTCATATTTCTTATTTCTATATACTATCGTATATTATCGCATTTCTTATCTGAATATGTGTATATATGATCTGCCAATTTTATAACTTGCTTATCTTTTCTTTCAAGGTAACTTCAGAAGCTGATGTACAAGCTGCTCTTGATTTAACAAAACAAAAATTTGGCAAGCTCGATGTCCTTGTTAATGCTGCAGGCATTGCTATAGCAAACAAAACATATAACAGCAACAAAAAGCTTCCTCACAAACTGGAAGACTTTGCTAAAATACTTCAAGTTAATACTGTGGGCACTTTCAATACTATTCGTTTATCTGCAGGACTGATGATTGAAAATACTCCTAATCATGACGGTCAAAGAGGCGTAATTATTAACACTGCTAGTGTGGCAGCTTTTGATGGTCAAATTGGTCAGGCTGCTTACTCTGCTTCGAAAGCAGCAGTCGTGGGTAAATTTTTCTTTATTGTTCATTTATATACATTATAATTTCTGTAAAGTAGTATATATGATATACATATGTATTGAGTGATCATAAACTTATATGTTTTGTGTGTAAGGGACAAAATGGTTTTATGTATATTTTTTTCTCTTGTGTGTGTTATGTAGGAATGACTTTACCGATTGCTCGTGATCTTTCTAAAGACGGAATTCGTATCGTAACAATTGCTCCAGGACTTTTTAATACTCCATTATTAATGGAGTTACCCGATAAAGTACGTACTTTTTTGCAGAAGAGTATTCCATTTCCTCAGAGGCTGGGAAATCCCGATGAGTATGCCATGTTGGTGCAGCAGATCGTAGAAAACCCGCTATTAAATGGAGAGACAATCAGATTAGACGGTGCTTTAAGAATGCAAGCTTAAGGAGTTATCAGTGCCGTGATGAAAAACAGGTTTAAAGGCAAATTTTGCATAAAATACACAAAACTTTTATATTTTGAATTATAAATAAATAAATAAACGAGTAAATATATAATTTTAGATTTTCCGATAGAACAGAAAATATAGTAGAGCTCGTATTTATATACGTATATCATGCTCTTCCATTTTGCCGTCGTTCCTCGTTCTTTTCGTTCTCCCGGAGCTGCTCCAAATTAGTGTCTTTTTCTCTCTTTTACCCTTTCTTTCCTTCTCTTCTGATCCCTCCTATCCGGATTTTCTTTTTTCTTTTCTTAGCAGTAACCTCTTCCTCTCTTTTTCTCTTCTCACTCTCTTCCTCGGCTTCTTCTCGTCAGCTCGTTCTACCTCATCTTGAAGTGTGTGAAAATAGCAGATCGAACGAACCGAGTGAGGAAGAAAGACGCTGATATTGTGCGCTCAGCGAGGTAGCAAAAGACACGTCTTTGTGTCGCGGTATCTTCGTTCAGGCAATCTTTCCTGTTCTCTTCCTCTCCGTCTCTAATACTTCCTCGCCACTGTGTATTTTCTATGTAAGAAATGCGCTTTTTTTGTTCTCCGCGCTTTCTTTTGCACGTAACACGGATAGCTTGTTTCTTTTCCCTCTCCAGAAGCCGAATTAAAATCGTCTTTCCATTTTAAAACCGCTACGGTAAATAATCGCTCGTATTTATATAAGTATATCAAATGTATATATATAATATTTTATCGCTTTCGACGGTTTTCTCGCCGCGCTGTAAAATAACTGCGCGGAGAAAAACTCGCTCGCATTGCGCGTTAGGTTGTTTGAATCTTGCTCGACAACGAGCAAATTCGCTGTCGCGCAAACAACACGTTCCTGTTGTTGACAGGATATTTCCTGTAAATTCCCCGGCTGTGTATATTCCTGTACATGTAACACGTCTGTCTATATAGCATGTCGACGTTGATTGATCATACGAAAGACCCTTATCTTACCAGCCAAGAATAATTCGTCAAATTGGTTGGCTCGACCGCCAGCGGTAAGCAAATTTTTGTATATGTATAATACGCCTTTGCCAACGTAAAAATAGAACAGCTGTTTACAAGTTACGGGCAGAGAGAGAGAGAGAGAGAGAGAGATCGCTTACTTATTACGTAAACATAAACGTCGAAAAAGGCAAAAGAGATGCTTTCCGATTTGATGCTTGCATCGTGTTTGACGCACAAATCATGTTGTACATAATGAAGGTGTAAGAAATTCATGCTAAACTTTAACGGTAAAGATTTACACGTGATCGACTGACATGTTGATAAACAATGACAAATGTTATACAGGTAATCAACAATCAAATTTGTGTGAATTTCGAAGCGGGCAGTCGGATTTAACGCTCTGAATCGAGAAATCGACTTACAAATTGTTAGTTATCGCAGCAATTACAGTATTCGGCGATACTGGTAATTCGACTTGAAAGAGTTCTCGTTCACTTTAATAAGCAAAAGTAAATAATAACGTATGGTTATTTTCGGAAACTGATTTAGAGACTTTAGCTAAGTTATCTGGACTTTTGTCAGAATACTACGAAACTTACGGAAATAAATAAAAAGATAAGAGCTTGTGCAACTTATTAAAAACATTGTTCATACGCTGTCATCCTGTATTTTATTGCTCGTATCGGCCTATTAATTAATTTGAACTTTTCACGAGCGATTGTTTGATTATTAAAAACAACTGTCATTTGTTTGTTGTCGAGCTGGATATACTCAAACTCGTAATTTTTTGATTGGCTTATAAAAAGAACTCCCGCGAGGACAAAGTTCAAGTTAAAACACATGAAAATTGCAAACAAAGATTAAAAATTAAGCCCACGTTCAGACCTCACGAAGAAATTAGAGTTTTATTATATATGCGTATTTTTTGTTTCTAAACACGATGCGTGCACAAATGCCGAATGATTGAAACACAAATTATTGAAGCGGTAAATGTTAATATTTTGTTTGCACAGCGACAGACTGTCTACACTAGCCTTGGCTTTCATCAGTAATGAGGTAACCGCAGGCGGGTGTGCGTGTACGCATGTATGCGAACTTGCACGTGTTCGCTGAACGTCGGTGTGATATGAGCCGTATGTACACGGTTATATATTGGCCATCAGCTGAGCGCACAAGTCACCCAGTTGCCAACCCGTTATCGCGCACGCCTCGAAGTGCCTACGTGTTATTGATATCTTAGATCTTAGGAAGAAGCAGACAGACACAGAGAGCATGTCCAGAAGCGAGTTTGATTGTTTCCGCGAACATGAGCCAGAAGACTATTTGTCACCAAATTAGAAACAGATATGCCAGAGTTTCGCTCGATGCTTTTTTGTTTAATTTGAGGTCATTGAATATTAAGATCATTTATAACAAAAGAGAGATTAAGATTGTTTATAACAAAACTATATTCGCGCCAAACATGAATATATTATATAACATACAACATGTAGGCTGTTACACTTTACAAAAGTAAATTAGACAAGAAAGTCGGTTGAGACGATATAAAAAGAATAATTACGTAGACGCACAGAATGGTGTGCTGAATATTAAAATCAGTGCGCAATCCTTGTGAGCCGGTTTATGCGATATAGAATTTTTCACGGGAGCTCGAGGAACAGCGCCAATACATAGTACGAGTTTTCGAGATGGAAAACAGGTTGTGTCGGGTGAGCGCACGCGAGCAAAACTGGTTTCTCCTGTCCAGTTCTATACATCGCGATAATTGCGAGAACTAATTGAAACAATACGACGACTACGCGCGCGCGCGCACCACACACACACACACACAAAAGCATTTCAAGCTCGGTCTACGCTCTTTGCACTTTTGTTATTTGCAGTTATTTTTATATCGCGTTGATAACGCTTGTGCAACAATTAGAATTTATCGAATGTTTACAGACGAGAGAGATATTGTGTGCAAATGTTTTTACTGTTTTATGTGTGTTTAATGTTTTAAACTTAATATCAAATTTATTTATTGCGTCAATTTGTTCGATCGCTTATTAAATTCACGCTTATTCATTTCACGTATTTCATTTTGATTTTCTGTAAACATTGATATTGAAAAATTTTTTTGTTCGCAATACTTCCTTTGTCATATCGCGCGACGTATGTATGCTACCGTATTGTACGTGTTTCATTAAACGTCAATGTTATTTTTTAATTATAAAAGTTTTTGTCTGACAAATATAGTTACAACCGATTAGTCATCGGATTAATCTAGATATGTCACATTCGGAGTGATTTCACTGATTAGTTTTCAATCGCGAAGAATAGTATCTTAGAACTTATCTTAGAATTTTGTCTTTCTTTGTCTTTTCTTTATCTGATCCTCAGAAAAACAATTGAAAAATTTTTATTACTTTAATTTTATCTTACGCCTTGTTTCAGATAAGACAGAGATTGCGCAAAATCTCTGAGAGAACGTTCAGGATGCAAAAGAAGGAATTATCAGGGAATGAGAAATTGAACATATGCGTTATTTGAACGCAGGTAAAATTTCGTAAATATTACAAATTAGAAATAACATCACATAGCAGTTTTTAATATAGAAAATACATTTGCAAACGATCACTATATAACATACAGAAAAGCCGTGATATTAATCGCACGGGTAAACTACGTAATCGAACTTTTATTTCGCGCAAGTAGATACAAAAATATCAAAAGCATAGCGAGCGTCGCGTAAATATCGTTGCTGTGCAACATTTTACAAGTATTTCCTTTTTCTTATCTCCGACGTTCTGCTTTCCGTTTGTGAGATCAGAAAAATCTTCTTTGATGGTTCGTAAAGTTCTTCGTTAAGTGAAAGCGACAAAAATATGGCCTGTGTAACACAACTTACAATTTTCGACGTACGTATGTAACGCCGCATGTTGTCATCTCTCGTGAATCAATTTTGTTAACGTTTGTCTTGTGAACAAATAATCACTACAAACAATAACCAATAGTAGAGATAACATAATCGGTCAAATCCGCTATCTTTCACGCATGCAAAAAACAACTTTATGCTACAATTTATCGGTAACTGAAGTATTGTGTCAGCGCGCGCGTTTAGACTTTTTCTCAATTCTACAATATGTTCCGCGCAAATATATCATCAAGGATACGTTTCGAGATATAGGTGATACTCTAACAGAGACATCTTATAGATATAGTATTCTAGTTTATACACGACATATATATGTATATATACGTGTGTGTGTTTTGTAATAATTTTTTATTTTTTGTTTCGGTTTAGAGACAACACTTGTACTGTTCTCATACATTGTTTAATCTATAGGGATAACGCTATACAAAACCTGGGATAAATTTTTGTGTATATAACACGTCTAATAAACTTCTTACATACACTATAAAAACGTGATTAACATATGGATATCATCGCCATTATCACATTCGACATTATTGTATTTATCACGATTTTATAGAAAGCACAAAAATGTTATTTTATCCATATTTAATCCTCAACACAGTCATAAACAAAGGCTGGCAAACGCTATGACATTTCACATTTTTTGGTGAATTGTACGTGTGTGTGTGTGTACACACAAACACATACATATACACGTACACACGCTACATATGATATTATAAAAAAATTGAATGTAAATAAAATAATCACAAAGTTTATGGTTTCTCCAGTTTCTTTTGTAATAGCTCACACAGCTGGCTATTTTATTTCGCACAGTAATTTGCAATTTCTTATAAAATATATTATTACATATATTATACGATATATATATATATATATATATATATATATATATATATATATATATATATATATATTTGCAATAGAATATTAAAAAATTGTTATATTATATTTGACAATATATAATATAATACACATTCATATTGATTTTTATATTTTCATGTAAAAAAGTGCTTTTATACTGTTTAAGATTAATCGTTTACGTAAAACGATACGCACTTGCAATTCACCCACACATTGTTAATCATCAACTAATTACAATTAAACGAGGCCGCGCGAGTATTGCTTTCTATCGCTCTGCAATACAACAATTTCTCGACTTTTGCGACGTCGTTTGTTATTAACAAATAATTGCTGACTACAATAGTACGAATAGATGTTTTGCGGGATTTAGCCAAATATCACATCCCAGAAAGAAATAATCTTTTTCCAGATTGATAATTTATAACTGTCAGTTTGACGAATAAATTTTTGTATCGATAGTTTACTTTGTTATAAAAAAAAACGTGACTTTTTTTAAACTGAGTATAATGTCTTCTCGAGCAGTGATTTTTGGTTATCCCGTATCGGCTAAGTTCCGACTGACTTTAAAACGGACAACATTTCAATGTTGTTTACTTAGTACATCAGCAAATCAGTCTTACACCTTCAAATGCGATAGCCCAATTTACACAACACGTCGTTTGTAACTACGACTTTTACCAATTTCTTAGTTATTTCTCTTTTTTGACGTGATAAGAAATAAGGAGATACTCGGAGAATAGTAGGAAAGTTGGACGGGACTGTGTTTCTTCTCCCTTAAATTTAACCGGTCCAATCTTATTATTTATAGTGAGAAATAAGTTATTAACTCGTTTACGTAAATGTTATTCTAAACTGATATCTTATTTAAGAATTTCTGCTTCGCGATTGTTGCAGAAAAGTTTGGTTTCTCGATTTAATTTGTTACATTTATTTGTTTTATAATAATAAACGGAAATTAAACTCATTTCTAATTTTAAAAAAGTACAAATTATTTTTGTTTTTGCCAAATCACCTTTCCAAGATGATCTTTTAAAAAAACTGTAGGAAGAAGAATATTTAAATATTGTATATATATATATATATATATATATATATATATATTATCTTTGATCTTTTCTTTGAGCATACAAAAATATAATGTACAATAAATTTCTGCAAACTCATATTTCTAGATCTTGAAAAATATAGCCTTTATTTCACTAATTTTAATATAATGAGATTATATAAATCAGATCTTGTTTTTGTGTCATAATCATATGACAATATATATAAAAATATATAAATATATGTGTACAATATAATAAAATATATACGTGTGTGTGTGTGTGTGTAATACATTTTCTAAGATTCAAAAGTTTCATCTCCGAACATCCATTCGAGAAGAGTTTGCTTTTTCTGACAACAATGATTCGATTAAGACCGGTTAAATCATCGCTCTTCTTTCTCTAAGCAAACCACGAAAAGATTTTCAACTTCGGTATATTTCGTGTTAAAGACAAAGAGAACAAAGCGTTCGTAGTTTTACGCAACACGATTTCTCTCGACACCGCGAAGAATACTTTGAACGCAAGCGTCTGTAGTTCTTTAAATCCTAACAATAAATCGTACACTTAATTGTCTTGTATTTTTTCTTAATATCACAAACATATCTTCAATTTAACTCTAATAGTATTACGACAAAAAGCGAGTTACTAAATGGAAGCGATACATAAAAAAAAGAACGAAAAATGTAAAGAAATAAAAAAATATAGACATAAAAAACGTGAACAGATATTAACCACAATGTAAAATAGAAATATGTACGGTAGTCAACAAATAATAATAATAATAATATAATAATAATGATGATGATGATGATGATGATGACGATGATGATGATAATAATGATAATAATAATAATAATGATAATGATGATGATAATAATAATAATAATAATAATAATAATAATAATAATAATAATAATAGCAATATAATAATGACTGAACTGAAGGGAAGAGATTCAATAATTCAATGGCAAAACACGTTAATCCTCCAACTTTTTGCTCTTCCTTTTCTGAATTTGCTCTTCCTTTTTCATTTATATATGTATTCGAGACTGCATATGAAATTAAAGCAATAAATTTTCGAGAATTGCCCTGTTCTCTTGTGTTTATATTTTTTATACACTAAAATACACATCAGTTATCTAGTTTAGTGAATATATGCATTATTATTGTGTACACAATTTCATATATTTTTTCCATTTTTTTTATACAATAAGAAATATGTTTACGAAGTATTCGAAACCGTACTGCTCTTTACTCCATTGAGAAATCTTGTTTTAGTTACAATTATGTATAAGCAACAAATCTGTAAGGATTTTCCAAACGTTCCGAACTATTCACAAAATTTACATAAAAATTATAAGAACATTTACAAAACAAAGTCTTGAAAAAACAATATTTAATTAATTTAATTTAAAAAGCGCAAGAAATTTGTCAGTAAAATTGCTAGGACAAATTTAACACAAAAGAAACACTGTTTCCGCCGACGGATTCGATGAACCACCTATTGCTAGCACATCACTACAACGTTTTGATACCATGGAAATGATTACCGATATATCGCGATATCGAGAGAAGATATAATTTAATGAGATTTTTTATAGCGATCATATAAAGGGAGAAAATTACGTAGGATAAAGATTGACAGATGAAATGATAGAATAGACTGCACATCTGTGCCAGATTATACAGGATGTTCTAGAAAAGTGCACTACTACGATATATCTTAATTTACAGCAATTAACTAATAAATGTAAATTATTATTTAAAATTTGAATATTTATATAGAGATATTTACGTAGAGATTTTCATAAATTTTTAAAATAATAATTACATATAATAGAATATAAATTTCAAATAGCAATATTAATTGAATCAATATTAATTAATCGCAAATAATTTGTATTAATTAATTACAAATTAAGTATTTTATCCAAGAATCCTGTATTATCCTGTAAGATTTCTTGTTTTTTTGTTGGCAAATATGCTGCCACTTTTGATTTCCAATATTATTTCGCAACGAAAAAACAGAGAATAGAATATTGCTTGCCTGTGTTACTAGAGTCACATGAGCTTCAAAAGACCGTCTCTAAACATACGACGTGGGCTATATAGCTACCTGACTATGAGTGATTAGTAAAACGCGTTTTTTGGTTCTAAAACTAATCATACTTGCTACGTATCACGTGAAATTTGTTACAAGTCTTATAATCACATACCTTCTTCGAGAACGAAGAACGCGAGAGCCTCTCTCTCCTCGCGATAAGATCTGTTACTACTAGAACTTGTCTCGCGCTATCACAATTATTGAACGCATAGGCCTCTTCTCCTTGAATATAGTATTGCAAGAGAACAACATATAAAACAAAAAGCGAAGTTTTTTTTATCGTTAACCCTTTAACCGATTCGCTGTTCTATTATATAACAAACTGTAGAAATTTCTTATACAAATAATATACTTGTAAGTCCGCATCTGAGCTTTATTAAAAACCTCCAACTCTTCAACCTCAAAAATACTTTAATCCTTTTTCACGACTATTAAGTTGTATATTTCTTAAAAACTGTGATCTTGCAAATTGTAGAAATCCTGCATCTTTTTGGACACAATTGTTTAACTTATTTCTCTGAATTATAATTTTTATTATTTTTTTCAGTTACTAGTAAACTCGTTAAACTAATTCGTTAAACCAACTAAATACGTCTAGATTTTTTTAACTGTCACATTCTTACGCGATATATTTTTGTCGTAAGAATTAATTTTGTTTTGAAAAATAATTGCATTCAAAGTGCAACTATGTTATCAATATTTAAGTAATATTATGAACTAGATGTTTTTCTTTTTTCATTCATTGCAACAGTTCAACCGCAAAATCCGCGACTTTTCTCGCGCAATCGTTTTTTTTTTTTTTCATTTTTTTTTTCATTTTTTTTTATTGAAAAAATTTAGAAAGTTTCTCAAAAGTAGCTGTCATCCGTAATATGAAAATCCAATTGTATAATTAAAGGGTTAACGCATCTTCCCGCGCGCGAGCACAGCAAAATCTTACAACATGCCATTAAGAACGACGAAATCTGACCTGTATGTTGCAACGATGCTTTCGTCGCTCCAACTCCCTTCTCTTTTTCTGGTCTTGCGATATTGTATGCAATTGTATATTTCAGCTGACGTCTTTTTAGAGCGACAGACTGGCAAAAGTAGCGATACCCGTTTGTGCACATTTGGCAAAACAGGAGATCGTTTAATATACAAAAATCCCATTCTGTGACCTCGGCATTTCTCAATGATACTGTTGATAGGATCTGTAGAGTTTCTTCTTTTCTAAGGTGAAATCTCTACTGATCATGATAGTGCCACCGCGCGTAAGATTTCTGTGAGAAAAACAACAAATTGAATATTGAATTTAGTCGCACCTCAAACAATCGCGTACATTATGTTGTGTATAAATTTTCATGCTTGTGGAAACGAAAGATCTCGATATAGATAATTCAACATTATCCCGATCTACAATTTGTGTAAAATATAGAGATAGTTTTGTAATACGATTTTATTTAGTCAAAATAATTTGCATAGCAATGATAAAACATAACAAGAAAATATTTAGAACATTGCTTATACATTTTTATAAGTTTTATATCATAAAATGTGAGATTTTTTACTGAATTGTATCAACAAGAAAATTTTACAAATAGAAAGCAACTTGTCCAATAACAAGATTTGTCAAGTCATACTCACTTTAGAAATTGAGGTAGCAACATGTGCCAAGATGTGTGATCTTGCTTTAGCGTGAGATAGAGTTCGAATGTCGATACAGCACTGGGATCGCACTGTATTTTTGACAGTTTGCGACACATACTGTCGGTCTCGAAGCTGATAAATAGCGTGCAACCTCTGCAACAAATAACACGCGCAAATACGTAAATTTTTCAGATAAGATCAAAATTTCCATCTCGTGCGCGCGCGTGTATGTATTATGTCAAATTATCTGATCTCATATCTCGAAGAGAGAGAAACTGATTGTTTCGATAATATACGGAAAATTCAATTTACCGAAGACCACAAGGTTCGTTATCTGCCATGGTAAGTACATGTTTGGCTATCTTAGGCAGCAAATCAGCTGGCAGAAGGACTTCGCCACAAGCCAGCTGAGCGTGTTTAGCTCTCCTTAGCTCGACTTCCAGCCTCTTTGCTAACGCTTGGCAAGCACCATCAAGCTCGTCTGTCACGTTTCCAGCTGTAACAATTAGTTAAACATAACTGAATGTGCAACTTTTCTTGTTAAATACATCAAAATTAATAAAAACATCTCAACTCTAAGACGTAGCTAATTATTTATTTTATTTCTAATACTTCATCTTATTGAATATATATATATATAATGTAAATAATATATCATTTATATATATTATGTATGTATATTATTATATTTGTATATTATTATATTTTATAAATAATACTTTTGATATAGAAAAATATGTATATAAATTGATCTACTTTAATTAAAACTGATTTGAATAAAATAAACCAAGTAATCAAATAAATAAATAAACTAAATAAAATAAATAAATATAAATTCGAGTTTGATTGGAAATATGTTATTATATATAATTCGAACTAATTAGTTATCAAATTAGTGGTTCGAAATAAACAACTTCACAATTAAACTTTTTCAAAAGTTTTCTAAAGTAGACATTGTGACAACTAGCATGTGCCGGTAGTAAGTCTGACAATCTAACAAATACTCGATACACAATATTTTCGAATGTACGCAGATGCAGGCTAATGTAAACTTGAATAAAGTAACATTTTTTTGCTGTTATCATTTTGAAATGTTAAAAATTATCAAAAATTGCAACAAAATAAAAAATATGTTTGTTTTTCTTTGATGATTAACATTATCTGCTATTTCACTTCTTGTTTCGCATTATATCAACGATAAATTGAATGCTAAGAACATCATTTCATTAATTATAAAACGAACATCTTTTAGTGCAATGTAACAGAGCTGTCGTCAGAAAAGAATATGATGACATAATAATTAATATATCGACTTTTTTAATTAGAATAGATTTTAAGAGTCTTTTTTTAGTTCTCCAGTTGAATTTTGTGTTGTACATTATTATATTAACATGTTCGTACTTTATTAAGGAATTAGAAATATCATATTTAGATTTCCATTCGTAAATACAACAAGGGTAATTTAAGTGTGACTGTTAAATGCGAGAGGAAGTAACAATCAAATAACATGCGAAAAAAACGACAGCAGCGTAGGGCATTTCTCCCCTCCTCTCTCGTATGATCGGAAGATTCTGACGCAACTGTAATTCGCTGTTTCGCTGGTAAATCACCGAGTAAATTTATAATTAATTCTATCTTTGTATCACGAATTAAGAAGAACAAATGTTAAAAACCGATATTATATCGTCAAATATTGCGTTGCAAGCAAAAATCAGCTGATTCTCAGCCGGCGTTGTCAGCTGAGAACACAACGGGCTCATGCGTCGATCGAAGAAGTTAACGCGACGCGACGTGACGCTCCGAAAAGCGGATCAAGAGAAAAGAAAAGAATATCATCAGTGTGGCTTACCTCTGGTATTGCTGAAGTCTACATTGACAGGACACGGTAGCACTTCCATGATTTTGCGAGGACGTCCGGGAATAGACGTATATTGACGGAGTTTTTCTCGACGGTCGCCTCTTCAGGATCCGATAGCGTAAAACTTCTGAGAGAGAGAGAGAGAGAGAGGAGAGAGAGAAAAGATGCCGATAACAGACGTAACGAATAAACCACGATTTTTGATTAAAAAAAGCAATTTCGGAAGACAATACGATTCGTATTGTCAGGCAACATTCGACCGTTCTCTCCGAAGGACTTTCACAAAGAAATGAGAATCGTATGACCCAAATCGAGTACGCGACGTTACCTGCTCGACTGATTGGCGGCCGGCTGCTGACGCGAGTTATATACGATGATCCCCATCCCGAGTAAGTTTCCCGTCCTCTTCGCCGCGCACCACCCCATGTCGACCGCCTAGCAACACCGTCTACGTGACGTTCGGCACTGTATCCGCACACTGTATTCGGTTGTTTCCGGCGAAGTTCGCGCCGGCCTTCGACTTGTACTACGATCGTGTATATGCGAGAAAACCGAGAGCGTGCAAAAGCGTGCGAGCGCGAGGCAATCCTCCGGTGACAGTTCCGGAGGGGATCTCTATCGTTGTTGCCAGTGGTGACGGTGGCGGTGAGGCACACCGGTTTTTTTTTCACTCCCGATGCTTGTTTTATTTCTTCTTTCTTATTCTCTCTCTCTCTCTCGCTCTCTTTTTTCATCTCAGTCAGTGATGACTACGTGCGTTACATCGCGCAATCTTTTATCGCCGAATTTTAACGTGTAGTACACGAGAGAAAAGAAGAATGAGCGTATGTATAACATAATATTAGCCAGAGTGTAATTATTAGGAACTGTTTCGATAACGATCTTCTAAATACGTAGAAAAATTGAAATCTCGGCGTGAGATGAGAAACATACAAACGCATAGCTCGCGGGCTTTGTCACGAGAAAAACTTGATATGCAGGTGGTACATTTTGCTATGAAATCAGCTGACCCTGGCTGAAGTGAAGGCTACGAAGAAAAATTAACATAATTGCACTAAGAAATGCTTTTATAAAAAAAATTGTAGTCAGAAATTCATTTATATCAAAGAGCCAATGATATTATGAGACATCAATAAATTATTAAAGAAAAAATATGTAAAACCAGCTAGTAAAAAAACTGTAAAAGCTGTGTTTGTAAAAAAAACTGATTATAAGAACCGAGCGTGTTGTGTAAGAGTTTGATCGCATTAAGGGAAGCGCTTTTTTAAAGTCAACATAATTTCGATTACGAGTCGAGCATTTACATACTATAGTTTCACGACAATTATATTAATTATGTAATCTTCCATTGTGTGTGTGTGTGTGTCGTAATATATTTTATTATCATGTAACATAATTTGCATCCAAACGATACGTTAATTAAATATTTAATTGTTTCAATGGATTATGCAACTAGTTGTGAGGTGAGAAGGTTTGTAAATATTTTATTATTTTTAAACGTGCATAATATCCAACTTGACGCCAAATGATATATCTTAATATTCTGTTTTTAGAACATTTTAGTACATTTATAAGTCAATCTGTCATACTTGTTACAACTAAAGGCGATATACGCTTTCCCAATGGAATAGTATTTTTCATGTTGATAAATAAATTGTGTAGAAAAAACTACTATTTTCAACAGAGATTCTCTATATTTAAAATATAAATGCTTTTAAGATTCCTCTTTTTATTCGGTAGTTTTAGATTTTGTTAACATTATTTATAAATAAAAATAATTAAAAATAATTTACATTTCAAGATACGTGAAAAATGTAATATGACGAATTGCAAATTAAATGTATATATAGGAAGAGTGTGAATACGTGTTCACACAAAGTTGTGAACTTAAGATGCTATAGGGATCTTATAATGTATAAGAACCCTAATATAGGCAAATTGTGAAAATATTACACAAAAATAGCATCGTGAATGACGATGATTTTGCAATGATTGCACTAAGATGATTCGCCATAACGCAACAGTTTTGTCGAAATAAAATTTTATAAATAATATTTGTCAAAAATTGCAAGAGTTGTCATGCATTTCCATAAGTATATACATGAATAAAGTTAATTTCTTCATATGCAATTATATTTCTACATATTTTAAACATCACATAGCTGAAATTTTTTTCTCAATTATTGGACAATTTCTTTTTGAAATTAATTTTGCAAATATATTGCTAAGATGATTCGCCATATCGTTATTCTTTTGCCAAAATAGTATTTGGAAAGTAATTTTGCAAACAACTACAAATATTTTATAAAAGATCAATGTTTTTACACCTATTTGCTAAAATATATCTGTATAATTGCAAATTACAATTTTAGTGCAAGATTTCGTCACAATTTTGTAAATATTTTCCTATCTAGGAAACCGAATGTGTGTGGCACTTTGAAGATCTGTGACAACACAAGTTGTGAAGACAACGGTCCATATGTAAATCCAAAGTCCCATGCATCTATCGTGATTCCTGAATCTAAAAGTGCTTCAAAGAAAAATATTACTCGATTGAACTGTCAGTCAATTCATTAATTTTTATCTTTTTAAGAATCTGTAAGTGCGTTACGATATATGTTATTTACTTTTTTCCTACTCGATATATACATACATATGTATGTATGTATGTATGTATATATATATATATATATATTCTTATCACATGTTTAAAAAAACAAAAGACAATAATTCTCTATATCATGTGTGAAATATAGATAAAATAATCAGATCGCGTTTCGACACTTGAAGTTTAATTTTTACAATGATAATCTGCATAGTTAACGAGCGAGAGCACTATACGGAAATCAATCGTAAATATAAAATATCTATACAATCAAGAACAAAAAATATGTAAATTCATTGACTCGTAGAACAAACAACCGCAACTGCGACTGAGCACAATACATAGATTTTGTAGATTTTGGAGAATAACATTTCTATCGGAAGTGCCACTTTTATCTTTCGCTCTGTGAGCTCTCGCGGAAGTCGCGTCACGTACAAACAAGCTTTCGATAAAGTACGTAGCCCGATTCTCAGCTGAGCGCATCAACTTTTGCGTTAGGTCATTCATGCATCAATCAAAACACATTAATTTCGCGAGATTGCGAGAGAGAGGAGAGAGAAAGAAAAACTCTAGGTTGTACAATCGTCAAAGTGGACGATCTCTTTATTTCGCTTACGTAGAGGCGAGTAATCGCAAATAACATGACATTTTTGTACTGTTTCGTTCACATGCCACGATCTTTCTTCTTTCGTAGCTTCTTTTTCTCCGCTATGTTTCTTTTGTTTTTTTCTTGTTATCTTTTTTCCGAAATGTGCCAGGCGATGCGTTCTTTTCAATTGCATCGTATACGTCCAACGACATAATTGTGCTAAAAGCTGGATTTTATTAAAAACTTGTTTGATTCTGCGCGCACATATGTGTGTGTGGATGTAAGCGCGCGCGCGGTAAAAATCCTAAACTAGAAATAATAATCGAATTCTCAAATTAACATCGCATAAGCTATTTTTTATTATTTTGTACGATAAATATTACTCTTGATGTGCACATACGTGCGCGCGCGTAACAATTTTATACGAAACTGGCCTCAGACGCGAGCAAAACGCCTGCACAAAGAATACGTTCATAATAGCAATGGTTAATTCAAGAAGTTACGATAAGTGAAATGACATCACCGGAGTGCAGAGGTATAATCTTTATTTGTGTATTTTCAAATGTGCATGCAATTATATAAGAGAACGTGTTATTTAATCATAAAGTACACGTTCATTTACTTGCACATATGCTTGTTCATACGTTCATTGTACTTGCTCAGTGATAACACGCGAGTTTGTTGATACTTCTTTCTTATCACTAACCATTACAAGCCAAATATACGATGCTTCGTAAATCAACGCAAGTTTGCATCTTGTGCTTGGTAAGATCTTTGAATCTAAGAGAAAGCGCAAAAAAAGCGAATTTGGAAGATCGAGACGACGGCCTCGCGCAAGAAAGGGACAAAGAGTAGAGTCAGTGTCAGAAAACACGTACATACACACATACACCAACATGTACAATAGTTGATATAAATATAGCGTGATTAATACACTCGACTGATTAGGAACATTAATAGAAACGCGATGTGAAGAGGAAACATAAATGCAACGCACGCATATTACATAATGCACCGATTGCGAGCACGTAAATACGTGTATCTGCAATATAATACTTATGTGAAGTTAACCCTGCATTTTTCGAACATAATCGTAATTGTATAAAAATGAAGAAAAATTGATAGTATCACTGCACGGCCCGAACTATCGTGTAACGCGTATGCCGCAACTCGCGGAGAGAAGTTATAAATACGCATAACGAGTAGAAACTCGTAGGCATCACAGTGCTGGGGCTTCGCACACACAGCTATGTGAAAGACACACTCGGGGGTCCTCTTGCACTCGAAGGCTCCCTCACCTCGGGTTGAAACCGGGCCGAGGGGCCAACGCAAGGGGGACCGCCTCCCTTTGGTAGTAACAATTACAAGCGGCTTTCAAATGTGTGCGGAAAGGCGAATAAATACGAGAGAGAGAGAGAGAGAGAGAGACCGGCTAGTTTAGCGCTCTTAGGTGTGTGTAATCGCACGAACAAAGGCGACCGGCTTCGTTCCAACACACATCACGATCACGTACAACACTTGCATTGAATTATTGTATATACGCGGGCTCTGCGGGTGGGGTGATCGTGCTATGTATGTACTTGCACGTACTGCAGAAACGCTGCCTATGAGATCCTCGCTTGCTGCAGACTTTCGATATTGTACATAACCGCTAGCTTCTCTTTCTTTCTCGCTTTTAAAAGAAATACAAAGAAATTTGTAATTTAATTTTATTAAATAATAAATTAAATAAATAATAAAGTTATTTCATACATATAAAATATACCCGTGTAACTCTGTAAAACTGAGCAAAATCGTTAAATAGAAAACAAAATAAATATAGCAAACACAAGTAATAAGAGAATATGAATGAGAATGTGCATAAAAGAATATGAAATTGTTTATTTAGTTCGCAATATAGTTTTACAATATAATTTTATCGAAATGTTATTGTAAATTATCTCTACGCGAGTCTAAGCTTTGAATCTCTATTATGGAAAAGAACAAGTTTAATTCGATACGCAATACATTAAGCACTAGATTGTATGTAGTGTGTACAAGATATATTGTGTATATAGTACAACATGTAGATGTGTTGATAATAATTTGGCTGCGGTCCGTTTCATGCTTAATCGCGCATTTATCTGTAGTATATGTCACGTATACTATAGATACACACACATGTGCGCTTAAGCATGAAACGGACCGCAGCCTTTGTAGTGGCTACACCTGACGAATATCGGACGCCATCTGCTGTCGAAATTGTGTACCACCGTGACAAAAAGAGTACGGGCCAGTGCCGCTATGCGTCGCACGAGTTGACAGTGCGCCCTCAAATGCGCTTTCGCAAATCGCAACACGTCGTCCAACGTTGTGGTAAAACGTCGTTATCTCTGTTGCTTTGTGCACGGTAGTTCCGTACGTCGATCCACATTGACGCAAGGTAAATAAGTTGCTGCTGGATGAGAACAGCAAAAGCGAAATATATATTTTATAAGTGCGTTTATGTCGTGTTACTGCGATGGTTTTACGTTTTTTGATCGCGATGTTCCACATATCTGCGTTACCTTATCCGGTAACCAGGTGATACGCGCTATCCTCACAAAAGAATCCGTGATCATATATATACATATATATACATATATATGTACACACGTACGCGCGCGCGCGCGCGTGTGTATACTACTTGCTATGTACACGAGAAGGTGTGTGTACGCATATGCATGCTGTGTTGTGCCAGAAACGGATGTCATCTGTATAATTCTGTAAACAGAATTCGTGACTATGTAAAATGTTCTTTCCTTAAGTTGACAAAATTTGAAGTAAATAAATACACAAACTTATGAAAACAGTTTTATCACTATCACTTGTTTTCTCAAAAGAACACACACATACATACATATAAACAATACCTTTTACATGTACATTCAATGAAACATTTAAAAAATTTCCAAGTACAATTTTATAGAATTTTTATAGAATTTTTTATAGAATTTTTTATTAGTTTTTTATTTTAAACAGATGTTTTTGTTTATTATAAAATTCATATTGATTGTGTATTGTAACACAAAATTTATAGTTTATTTACACTTCACACACATTATTTATATTTAATTTACATTTACATTGATTTATACATTAATTTATATGTATATATATTTTGTATTTATCTTATATTTAAAACTATTTTATGCACTTGTGTAATATATGTTTAAATGTTAAGATGTATATACGTATATTTGTTTTTTATTAAAAAAAGAAAACATCTATAGAATACTAAAAGTATTAATTTTACTTTCTGACACACACATTTGAATAACTATAATTGTCTGTAAAAGATTTTTTCTTATTCAACAGTTATATTTTTCAATTTGTATTAGGAAAATGGCAGATCCTATACTTCATGTTAACAGACAAGAGGGAGGGTGGATGCAACATCGAGATCGCTCAGTGATCGAGCTCTCTCCCAGAGAAGTTAGGCATAGAGAATGGTTACAAGAAATGGCACAAAGAGTGATTACAGATGATAACCCTGAAACACGCTTAAAACGCTTTTTGTACATTGGAAAAGAATATAGCAATTATCAGCCTGGATATTGGTTTACTCATAATTATTTTTTAGTCAGGAATGTTCCATCCATAGAGGAACTTGCTGAAAATGAAGAGAAACAATTGGCACCAATTGAAATTATCAAAACAGTGAGTGTTGTAAATGCAAATTGTGCACATATATAAGAATATTTATTACAACTATTATTGAAATCATAATATTTATAGGCATTTGAGAGCAATTTAGTTCCACATAGAGAGACTTTGGTGTTTGCTCTTGCTGTTTGCTGCAGGCAAACCAAAAGTGAGAAATTACGTCATGCAGCATACGAAAGTATAAAACAGATTTGTGCATCCCTCCAGAACTTCATTCTGTTTATTAGATTTGCTTCCAAACTGAACAGAGAGAAAGAGATTAATTATATTACGCAAGGGTGGGGTCATGGCTTAAGAAAGGCTGTTAACAATTGGTATCTCTCACACGAGCCATTGGACTTGGCTAAATGCGTCACAAGATGTAGAAGCAAATATGGTTGGAAACATAAAGACATTATCAAGTTGTCTCATCCTGTACCCAATAGTCCGGGTAAATATAAAATTAAAGAATTTGTGGAAATAAATCCAATTCTTCTGGTTTATAAATTTCTTATTTTTCTTTATTTTTGTATAAATTTTATTTTGTAATACTTTCTTCACAGTTTTACATAAGTTGCGTGTGATTATAGATTTTACAGTAATTCTAGTTGCAAAGATGCTTAAACATTATTGACTGAGATAACGTATAAAAGCAGTAACTATTGTAATTTTGTGTAATATTAACTTAAATTCTATTTTGAATTTTATTTTAATAACTTGTAACTGTACTTATATTTTAATAACTTGTATATATTGAATGATAATAAAAAAAAATCTTATGTAGTTAATTATTTAATAGAACAGACAGTACTACTGAAATATATAATACTCGGCATTGAAAAGACTAGAACGTTTACGGAACAACTCTTAAGCGAGCTTAAGGATCAATTAGAGAATGATAGTGGAAAACTCGAGATAATCTCTAATGTGAATGAAATTATGAAATATATACAAAACGTCGAAGATTTCAAACATTGTGAAGATGAAGTTCGAGCTGCTTCTTTGCTGGAAGAATACAATTTAACATTGGATCATGTGCCTGGACATTTATTAAAGTCCAAGGAGGTAAAATAGCATGCGTTCACGTTTTTTTGTATTATTGATTAATAATTATTAATCATTGAATTATGTTTTATGTATTTAAGGTGTGGAATTCATTGATATTGTCAATGGATATTCCCACTCTTCTGGATAATCTGCAAAGAATTCATAATCTCAAGATATTTCAATCAGATGTATTAGATGCGCCAGCAGTCGAAAGAGTAATGGGTCTTCTTAATAATGCGGAACTCATAGCGCAAAGTAAGCTTCACCCGGTGTCGTTTTTCATTGCTATGAAAAATTATAAAAATAAAGGAAAGTAAGTACGAGACAGTAAGTCTTTGCAACATTGCAAGATTTTTTCTATATAATTCAAAGGAAGAGAGATTATTATTGACAAAAGTATACATATATTTTTCTATTTTTTTATTCTCTCTCTCATACACTATATATATCTTTATTTATTTATTTCTCTCTTCAAGGCCTATGTCTCACGAAAAGCGAAAAGTTGTGGTAACCGCAAAGAAATTTGTACCAATGCCACCTGAGCCAAATTTAAATATAATCGATGCTTTAGACAAAGCGTTTGAGATCTCATTTGCTGTAAGTTTCAGGTTTTTATTTAACTTAGAATAGTTATGAAATTGTATATGTAACATATAATTATATAATGCCATAATATTATTTGGAGGAGGTTGTTTTATTTATTTTCTTTTTTTTATTTTAGTTTTTTAATTTTTTAAATGTTAATATATATATATATATATCATCTCTAGAATATAGAACCTACAAAATTACGCTATTTGGTAACAATCAGCACAAACAAAGCAATGAATGAACACGCTTGGCCCGTTCAAAGCGGTAACGTGCTCGGTGTCGAAGCAGGTTGTTTCATCGCATACATGCTATTACGCTCCGAGCAGGATGTCACAGTGGCGACATTCAAGAAGATTGGAATTTATACATCAGACATTGACGGTTCGATTCCGTTCGATGTGTTTGTGGAGAAAATACGAGAATTACCTTCCGGAAATACTCGTCTGAGTAAACCGATATTATGGGCTCTGAGACAGAGAAAAGTGTATGATGTCTTCATAAACGTCGTGGATCAAGTAAACGAAAAATACGACGATTCACAGGAAGCCCTATTAGACTATAGACAACAAATGGAACGTTCGAACACGAAGTGAGCTTACATTTTATATATATATATATATATATATATATATTTTATATATATATTGTTTCAATGTCTTAACACATTTACTCCGAGTGATTTTCGCTTTCAAAACGATACATATCGAAACAAATGTATTAAATTAAAAAAAAAAAAAAAATTGATACAGACCACAATTTCAATTGGCAAAATGTCAAAGTATTGGACACAGAATCTTCATTTTTCAAGAGATCCGTCTCCGAAATGATGCACATCAAATAGCAAAGCAATCCAATTAACGTCATGTCGGAGACGGACAAGCTGAAACGATATTTTTCAGTTTTGGAAAATTATGACTTAATTTCCGTTCGGTTCAAACGTTGTGATGGGGGTGAGATCGTTACATGTACCTTGAATATGGAGGGAGCTGCTCAGTTTGTCAGTTGCATTCGAAGCGGGAGAACGTTTTGCGTTCTCTTACGTAATACTGACTGATACTTTGCTGCCACTTCCGCGTCTCTTTGAATATCTATGTAGAGTTTCTTTTTTTATCCATATTCTTCATGATCTCGAATAGATCATGATTTTTTTTTTTTTGTAGTTTTATGTAATTTTTTATTAAAACACTAAAGAAGATCCCATAGTGGATCGAAACGTTTATTGAAATTTTTAAAAATCTTCGAATTAAGGAAAAGTTGTGCCCATCTGGTGTTAGCTTGTTATTGCCATTTCCCCATTTTTTGATTTATATTCAACGAGCTTTAAACATATACTTAAATTTAAAAAGACAAAATGTATAATATACATAAAGCTGTTGAATATGCGTAATTATTGGAAAGAATTGTTATATTATTTTTTTATATACATATATTTTATATATTTTTTTCATATATTTTCTCGATTGTCACACGTTTCTAATAATGATTTTCTCCGTTGTATGATATAAATGTGTGAAATATTAATTTTATTTATTGATTTAACTTTTTCTTCACATAAAGTGTTCCATGTATTTTGCAGGCTGATCAACTGTGCCGTATGCTCTTCTTCAACGTATCGTAAAGAAAAGTGCGACAAAAATGTTCTGACGATTAATGGTTTTGATATTACTATTCCGACTGTCATCCAGGCGTTTGTGCTGTCTCTATTTTAAATAGAGACTCTATATACAAGATAAATTTTTGTTGTTAAGGGGTATTGCTTCACGGATGACTTTAAGTAAAACCTTGTACTTTTTACAGAAAAAATAGAAGTCTCAAAAACATCTGTTTACGAGCGCTCACAATTGGTAAATCAAGAAAAATATCGATTTGCTTATTTTTTTTAACACACTTTGAAATAAAGAAAAAGAAGCAACGTAACAGGTTAGAGATGAGTAACAAGATTACATATTATCTGTCAAAATTAAATTCGAATAACGAGAATGTTATTCGAATTTAAGTTAATGACGAAAAAGACGTGAGTGAAAATAAAAAATTGCAGATACAGCATTCGCAAATAACTTAAAGAAAAAACTGCCGAATTATTTAATTCAAATTGTCTTTTTATTTTATTAGTTTCAAAGGTCATTTAGACACCCATGACTGAATCAAAATGTTTAATTTCGCTACTGTTTTTATTAATTTTAAGACCTATGAGAGGGACTGTACATTTAGAACATATTGCAGATAAGTAAACAATGTGCAAATTGAAGACATAAATACGAGTGACGACGTGCAGTATAATATTGGCACATCAATGATTATAATATTCACTACATATTCTTAATATTAGGAAAGAGCTGTGTAGCTTCTTTATTTTTATTAAGCAGCATCTAACAAAAATCAGAAATATTATAAATTTTTTATTTTAATTTCCTTTTGGAGCGATATTATCTTACACTAACACAGTGTGTATCTGTTTGGCAACTTTAGAACACTATCGTATTGATCCAACCGTATAAGCAATATATAGAGATTAGTTAACACGGACCATGTATTTTACGCAGTTACATGTAAAATCTTGATTAATTAATTTTTTCCATGACAAAATCTGTTAGATTTAAATACATTTGCGCGGTTGATGGTGTATGAGCTTTTAATATTGTATCATTTACATTTCTTACATTTCTTCATCTTACTATATTTCTCTAGCTACGCACACATTACTTGCTATAAGCATTGGTTAACTTTTCTGTTTTTTCCTATATGTTTGAAATCTATCGTTTTTAATATTTATAAAATACCTAATAAAATTAAAAACAAAAATATTCAAGGTTTTATATGCAAAAGCGTAATAATAATCTTATTTCGACAACTCGATAAGGAGTACAATTCTTAATAGAACTTTATGTTTTAATAGTATATTTATCTGAGATACACTCTCTACGCAGTAAAAATTTAGGATAAGGCTGCATAGTCGATATAAAGCGCGTATTTCAAGTAACATACGGTGCATTTTTTAATTACTATATGTCATAAAAAGAAACTATCTTAATATAATATTATATTGCTTGCTTGTTTCCACTGGTTGGTGGCGATGCTTCTTCGTAATAACGCATATAGAATATGACCTTTAAAAAAAACAAAAAAACAAAAAAAACAAAAAAAGTGAAACGCTTTTGAAACCAGTGCGCTTCTGGACGGTTAAATGATAATCTAAAATAAGAAAAACAAAAAAGACAAAAAAAAGAAGAAAGTGAATGACAAAGGAGACGAACATAGGAACGTTGAAAATTTTCCCACTGTGATATGCATTTAGCCCCAAAGAGTTATATAGACTTACATTAGTATAATTTTACTGTTACTATCTCATATTTGCCATATCCAAAGTGAACGCGAGACAAATACTAAATACACTACTGAATAATACTGTGATATGAAATACATTGTTGTTGTTCAAACTAGGGAAATGATATTTAAGTGACGCGACCAGAAGCGCACTGCGTTTAATGTTTGTTGAATTAGTATCTGTGCGAGTCTTAGCTCGTGAATTTTCTGTTAAACAATCTGTAATATATTGCGAAAAATAACAAATTTTCGATCTACGGATTATTGTCTAAAGAGGGGAAAGAAAGTTTCCTTTGTTTCTTGTATAAAATCATGGAAGCACGTATCTTTTTCAAATATATACATCGCTAAAAAGTACAGTGTGGATGAATCTCAGGTCTTCGAAACAAATTTTAAACTAACAATAAGTGCTTAACTGTTCACCTGTTCTTTGCAGCTGTCATCGGTAATCCGTGGATCGAAAGTCACAAATGTGAATTCTATTTCATATAGACAGTGTGTTCTAAAAAGGGTATATATTACAAATAAGCTATTCTTTAAGCAATCCCCATACTCAATTTATTCCTACTAAAAAATAATATTAAATTTAGTTAATGTTATAAAACTTGAAGTATGTGTCGATTTTCGACGGATTAGTCTCATAAAATTGATTCTTTATTATTAATTGTTAAAAATTATTTGTCTATTAAATCAAGTAAAGAAAAGTTAATTAACTATAAAGTTCTTCAATAAAAAAAGAAAAAGAAAAAAAAACCGATTTTATATTTGTTAGATATATGTATCTATATATATATATATATACTTTAAATTATCTTCTTATGTTGAAAAATTCCAAATTGCACTTGAATTATAACATATATAGCTTAGAGCAAAAAATCGAGAATGTTTTTTATTGGCATTTATATTCTTATATATATGTATGTATGTATGTATGTATGTACGTATATATGTATGTATGTATGTATGTATGAATATATATACACATCTTAGTATACATATATGTATATAGATACATGTATACCTAAAAAGTGTATCTTAAAAGTCGCAAATTTACATTAACATATCGGTTGCGCAATAAGTTCATTTTACTGAATTTTGTAAAAATTATTTATTAACCATGTAGTATGTTTTACATTATATGTATACAATTTATAATTCGTGTTTCGCCAGCACACATGTTGTGTTTAGAAAAATTATTGATTTGTTGCACATATATCTTTCATCTAAATCTTATGAATTCAGTGTTTAGAAAATTGCTAGCGCATATATATCTTACAAATATAAAAGTATCTCTAAAGCATGAAGGCCAAATTTCTTTCAGAAACGCGAAACATAGCTACTATAACAAGAGTTTAAAAACATACGTGTGTGTGTGCGCGCGCGCGTGTGTGTACACACAATAATCATATTGGTAGCTCAATGTATTCACTGGCATTAGTAAGTAGGCATTACAAGTATTTGTATATGTACAGGAATGCATTGCTATCGAAGAGGATCGCATGTTTTGTCTAAAACTTTCTTTTTTGTAAATATTTACAACAATCGCAAACAATCGCTTTCTAAATTCAGTTTAAATAATATAGAAGCAGATCTTTTCTAATTATACATTATTTTACAAAATAATTTTAAAAAGTATATCAAGTATTATGACATATAATTTGTATATAATATATGTACTAAATATGTGAGAGGACCACGTGTGAGATTTGAGATATAATTTAAAATCAATATCCTCTCCGCTTGCAGTGCATAGAAATATATATGTATCCGTTACTGCATAAGAAAATACGTCCGAAGTACATAATATAAACTAGAACATGATGAGAAAGAAAAACACTGAAAAAAAAAGAGAAAAAGCAGTACGAAATAAAGTATTTAAGCTAGAGTTTAAAGAGAGCCACTTCTCCATACTTATATTTCGCAATCCATTAATTCAGAATGTGCTGTATAGTTAATAATTAAAGCACGAAATAACAAGAAAAAATATGTTAAATGTGTTCATGCTAGACGAAGAGAAAAGAATATTTACCGTAGAGAGAGAGAGAGAGAGAGAGAGAGAGAAATTCCGCACTATGTGGATGTTAAAATTTGAATGAAAGGATGTAACGAGGAAATCGAGAGATTCGCGAGAAAAAAATTCACGTGGCGCGCCAAGTGCGAGGTAACACGAAATTCTCGATCACGTTACATTTTTGCGCTTCGCGATACTGAGGGGACAAATCAGCTTCCTTGCCGAAGACGATTTTCTGATATATTGGACTGACCATTAATTTCGACCAGGAAGCACACGAAATGTATTTATCTAATACTCATAGTATTTTACAAGCCAATGGATATACATTTATACAGTCTCGGAGCAAATATCAGTCGCAAGTTTGCATAAAACTAAAATAACTAAAATCTGTTAGAAAAAAATGAGTTTATAGTAGCATAAATTTCTTTGTTATCTTGAATGACCAAAAAGTGCTGCTTGCTATAATCACGGGCATTAACATATTTCCGAACTTTTGCAACATCTTGTCACCTACCCACAGATCTTTCATTTTGAAAAGAAAACTAATTTTGCGTACCTATAAGACGAATAACTAATAAGGACTTCCATTTTGTATTTTATTTTTTACACCTTTCTTAGTTGTATGCAGACTTGTATTTGATAAAATATACATAAATATACGAATTAGTGCAATGTTCCTTAGAATTATAAATACGCAAAACTTATAATTCCATAATTAGTACATTGTCGCTTCTCAACGATCTAATAAGAAATTAGAAAAAAATGCTCAAAATACCCGTTGTTCAAAGTTTTCGAAGCAAATATGCCAAAAATATATAAAAAAAAGAAGATAGGATGGAACGATATTCAATTCTACATGTACAAAATGCAATGAAATACCTCGTTACCTGTTCTGAATGTAAAATAGCAAAAGCGAATTGTACTAACTCTGCGAGTTAACTGCGAAAATTGTCCTTCTAATTCGTGATTCACATGCACTGAATGCCTATCTTTTGGCCTTACTTTTTTACATATAAAAATCTTGTAAAAACACGAACAAAGAATCAATTCATAGATGAACAATATTATTCGCTACCTGTATGTTTCGTAAAGTTGTGTTTTATATGTGTATAAGCATCTTTTTAAGAAAATTTAGAGATCTTTGGGAAAATTCTTCGAATAGCTCTTAGCATATTGTGACTTTTAAATCGCACATTTTTTGGCGCAAACGTTAGTCAAAATAGCCATTCTTGCGGCCAATATTTATTTTCATCTATAAAGAATTAATATTCTGAAAAGTATAGAACTTTAAGAAAACTTTTNAAAATTTATTTATTTTATTTTATTTGTTTTTTTTATATTTATTTATTTTTTTTTTTAACTTTTACCACTACCTGGTACAGCGCTCGAAATTTATGTCGCTGTGAATTAGTTTTTTAGCACTTTTGTTTATAATCAAATAGTATTATTACCCATATAGATTACCTTTGTGTAAAAAGCGATATTATTCGATAGTTTATGATACATCAGAATTTTTAGAAAATGAATCTAAAGTGTAATAAAGGTCGCGAAGCTGTCTAAATCTTTTGTATGAAATTGTCACCTCGTTATTTCCTTTATACTTTATTCAACATAAAAGCTTTTTTAACTTCGATTTGTGTTCTGTTTTGGATATTTTCAGACTTTTTATGTAACATCGCTAGCGCGATATTTGTTAATAAGTTGAGAAGTTATATTCATAATTTACGTGTAGCGTATTGAATATAAAACAAGCGTTATGATCAATATGACAATTTAATTGCTTCCTTCTTGTTTTCAATCAGAATGCGTAACTATCGACGAATTCGATTGGATGCACTAGTGCGCACTGAGTGCGTCCTCTTTCAATGTGTAGTAAAATACTAACAATGAAATATTCTACTACACATTGAAAGAAGATGCACTCAGAAGACGCACTACTGCATCCAACCTAATTCGTCATATGTAGTTTGTCTCGCTCATTTTTATAACTGCGCGTTTTTATTGTTCTTTACTAACAGCCAAAGGAATATATTTTGTGTAAAAAAAAAAATTTAGTTTCTTAGAGAAACGCGTACTTCGCGAACATGATCGGTGACGACTTCGAGAATAGAACAGCTTCGTATTTATTGTAAAAAAATATCACATACATACTGTGTAGGAAAAGTGTTTTTGGAACTGGTTGTGTGATCAATCGAAAAACTTCTCTTGAGAAAAACTATTTTGTTGTGTTTAATTCTTACTGTATAACATTGTTTTAAATTCTATTTAAAAAAAAACCATCTTTTTAAATATTGCAATGCAATATTTTTGAGAGAGTTCAATGATATCATAATGTTGATTTTATATTAAAAAAAAAAAAGATAGAAGCGCGTCTGTCTGTCCGTTTAGAAAAATTAATGATTTAAAAACTTATTATAATTCAAAATTTCAAAACTTTTCCTACAACAGTCTATTAAATAAAGTCACAACTGTCACATATAAACACACATATATTTGCAGAAAATACCTGTTGTGCAATTTTGATATTATTGTTATATCTTAGTAAATATCTTAGTAAATTCGAGAAACATTTTGTAAGCCCAGCGATTTAATTGCTCTGAGTAAACTAATGTCGGATAGTTTCACAGCGGAGCAAGTTATGTATTATTGTCATTATATTTGTTACAGTTGTATATTTCGGCACATTAGGCGGATTAAGATATAGGGAATTGATTACATGTCTATGATAATTCCGTGCTGTTTTTGTTACGATATGTAGAAACTGGATTCTTATTAAAAAATACAAAAATTTCTTAAATCCAACAAAAAGCAATTTTGTATTATAATATTCTTATTTCCCAAGCAATTGCTTAAAAACATATTTATATTTATCAAATATTGTATAAATTTAATCTTCAATAGTATCCTAATTTCGAAGTAGTACTCTAATTAAGCAAATCCTATCGATTAGATATATATATATATATATATATATATTAAATGGGTACAAAAGTTTTGATGGATTTTGTGATAGAGAAAAAAATAGATTAAGTAATTTTATTAAGAATGAAATGATTTATTCACATTCTACAACAGTAAAACATATTAGAAAACAATAAGAATTACTTGATACATCGTTTATTGCTTGACTCTTTCTTCTATTAAATCCATCAAAATTTATCCACTCGTCTTATGTTTTAGAAAAATTATAACTAGAGACTTTTAAAAAATCTTGGTTAGAATTTTAAAATGTATTTTCAGCAGACGTTTACATATGTATGTCGTTTACACACTTACTGCGAAGAGCGATTGATAAGCACCCGAAACGCGACGCATAAAAATAGCAGTTATCGTTGTCGATGGTAAGTTTCATTCTTCAGAAGAGATGTCAAACGGTGGCTCATTATTGCACGTACTTAGCGTTTGTGTGAAACAGCTCGCCAGTGATTTTTTTTACACGGACCGCATTCGAGGAGTGCGCTATCTGCACTATTGGGTTGCATTTTATCATTATTTTATATTTCATGAGCGAGTGTAAAGTGATAGAATAGCGCAGATAACGCGCTTCCTAAACACAGCCACTAAAAAGCTCACTCTTCAATTGTTGCCAAAATTTACGAGTTGAAATTGCTGCCTCGTTTGTCAGACATATGGTATCTCCGTGCGATTTCCATTTATACCCAAATCTGAAAAAAATGGTTTGGTAAAAAGAAATTTTCGGGTAACAGCGAAGTCATCAATGATGTAATAAATGACTATTTCAAAGAACTCGAAAAATCATTCTATCAAAGTAGTATACGTAAGTGCTCTCGAAAAGCAGTTGATCAAAGTACATCGAGAGAAAAGCGACTAAATTGAAAAATAAATATGTTCCAAATCGATAAAGTGAAATCTTTTCGTTTGGGATACTTATCGATCGATCGCTCTTCTTATATTTAAAGAACTCAAAAATTTGAAAAATCACCAAGTTTCACAAATATATATCTTTTATAAATCTTTTACATCTTGAAAAAAAATTTATATATAATATATCGATAGAAATGAGAAAAAATATGATTTACTGAAAAAATCTTTATTCTTATGTTATTGGTACATATTGCATTCACACACGGAAACAGCTACATTATACATAGTATGATGTACCTCAGCAGCAGATATAACGAGTTACAAGTCTGCGCAGATTCATTCATACATATATCATTCACTCCCTTAATCGCACATACTTGTCGAAAAAACTTGTCAACGCGCAGTTTGCTCCGCGATTAACCAATCTGATTATCATACGTAATAGAACATACAAAACAATTTGAAATAAATTAACGACACAGTGGAGTAATGTGTACTAACAAGAGAGGGACAAAAGAAGAGCGTCAAAATGTTTCGTCCCCGGCTCCTCTCATCAACTGGTTTTTCTAATGAGAAGATTAAGGTATTAATACCTCCTGGCAAACACAATACAGAATTAACTAACGATAATTATAAAATCGATTTATAATAACCGGTTTTTTGTTAAATTGGCAATGTCGTAAAAATACGAAATTTGTCGAATAAAAGTTTCGCACAAAGCTACATGGAAAAAAATTTACAAAAACACTAATTACGACTTTTTTTGGTGCAGTCTTTTTCTATACGACATTTATAAATTTAAACGGACATGAAAACTTTTCAGATACATCTTGTACACATCTAGTCGTATGAGTTAGAACAAGTTTGGCTAAAGAAAAGGTGCGAGAAAACGTTAAATTAGCATTAGGTTATTATTGCGTTGTTGCGTTTTTGTCGTACAACAGAAAAAAAAGATTTCAAATACACAATCGAATCCTTCTATTCTTAATACAAAGTCGGAACCAGACTCCACCTTTATTCTTATTCTCTTCCTCCAGAAAATGGCTGTGAGAAACGACAAAATTAAAAAGGGAAGAAGTTTGTCAAGAATAGAGAGAGCTAGAAGAGATTTGACTGTATATCGATTAGCTAGCTTATCGGATAGAATTCTCTACAGAAATTTCTGAGAGAATAGCCAATTAAATAACAAACAACAAAACAACAAATCATAAAAAAATATAACAAAAAATGCAGTAACGTAATATTCGGCTTAGAATTTATAAATATTTACGGCTAAACATATTCCGACGTATGTTTTCTTTAATTTTTTTAAACACTCATATATTCTATCGCTTTTTGATACTTTCTCGCACTTTTCTTAAAAATTTATATACTTATCTAACAGAGACTCGTATTCTTACTGCACATTTAGCTTCGCAAAAATTTTCCTTAACTTAATTATTAAATTTACATATAGTATATATTATATGTTAGCAAAACTTAGAACCTGACTGCTATTATTAACTAAACGTACGGCGAGAACGTACATGGCCTCGCGAGTGTACTTCGCTCAGCCACTTGTAGTAATCAATGATATTTCTGTAAAGTATTTGCTTAGGAGGCGAGTAATCAGTCTAAACTGTAAATCGAAGCGAACGGATCGCTAGCTTGCAGTTAAAGCTCATCTTTAAGATCTTCTTCATCGCCAGTTGGTGGGACACCGCCACCCGCGCCCTGATACAATTTGGCTATGATAGGTTGAACGATGTCAGTAAGCTCTTTCTTTTGCTTTTTATATTCTTCCGGCTCCGTATCTTGGTTGTCCTCCAGCCATTTAATCTTTTCCTCAATCGCTTCCTCCATTGTGGCTTTGTCCGCGTCGCTTACTTTCGAACCGAGCTTTTCCTTGTCAGCCAGCTGATTCTTCAGCGAGTAAGCATACGACTCGAGATCGTTACGTGCCTCTACGCGCTCTTTTAATTTCTTATCGTCATCAGCAAACTTTTCCGCATCCTTGATCATTCGCTCGATATCATCGGGCGTTAAGCGATTCTGATCATTTGTGATGACAATCTTTTCACGGTTACCGGTGCCCTTATCTTCAGCCGATACCTGCATGATGCCGTTAGCATCGATCTCGAATGTGACTTCGATTTGCGGTATGCCTCGTGGTGCCGGCGGAATGCCAGTCAAATCAAACTTGCCAAGTAGATGATTGTCCTTGGTCATAGGACGCTCGCCTTCGTACACTTGAATTGTAACGGTGTGTTGGCTATCGGAGGCCGTGGAGAATATTTGAGACTTTTTCGTGGGAATGACTGTGTTTCTGCAAGAATAAACAAATAGAATACAGTTTAACTGCAGACATTCTCATAAATTTGATAAAGTTAACTCTAACTTTTGATAATCAAAACTCTAAATAAATAATACTTTGTACTTACCTTGGAATAAGTTTAGTCATTACACCACCAACGGTTTCGATACCCAAAGTGAGAGGATTAACATCAAGAAGTACAATTGCATCAGTGTCTTGTTCTCCGGAAAGTACACCGGCTTGTACAGCAGCACCGTAAGCAACGGCTTCGTCGGGATTGATACCGCGAGACGGTTCTTTACCACCGAAGAATTCCTTGACTAATTGCTGAACCTTTGGAATTCTTGTTGAACCACCAACCAAGACAATTTCATCCACGTCTTTCTTACTCATGTCGGAATCTTCCAAAACTTTTTGCACGGGTTTCAAAGTGCTGCGGAAGAGATCCATGTTAAGTTCTTCAAATTTGGCACGAGTCAGTGTCTCGGAGAAGTCCTCACCCTCGAAGAATGATTCAATCTCAATCCTGACCTGATTAATATATAGAAAAAAACAGATTAATAAAACATAAATAGAAGCAAAGAACAGATTAACAAAGTGAGTTTTAAAAAATCACATATTACCTGATGGCTAGCACTGAGCGCTCGCTTGGCTTTCTCGACCTCACGACGCAGTTTTTGTACAGCTCGGTTATCTTTACGGATATCCTTGCCTTTCTTCTTCTTATAAAGCTTGATGAAGTGATCCATTACACGTTGATCGAAATCTTCGCCTCCCAGATGAGTGTCACCATTAGTAGCGACTACTTCAAATACGCCGTTGTCAATAGTAAGTAAGCTGACATCGAAAGTACCACCACCCAAGTCAAATACCAGCACGTTTTTCTCGCCGTCTTTTTTGTCTAAACCGTATGCGATTGCAGCGGCGGTTGGTTCGTTGATAATCCTCATTACAACCAGACCAGAGATTGTTCCAGCGTCTTTAGTTGCCTGCACAAAAAGTCACAGAAATTACATGTCAGAATTGTGATTTGTTATCACATATAATATTATTTTTTTTATACTTTACCTGTCTTTGTGCATCGTTAAAGTAAGCCGGCACTGTAACTACCGCATGAGTAACCTTCTTGCCAAGATATGCCTCAGCAGTTTCCTTCATCTTGCCCAATACCATAGCGGAGATCTCCTCTGGCGCAAAGACTTTTTCTCCCTGACTAGTCTCGACTTTGATGTGCGGTTTATTATTTTTTTCAATAACTGGGAATGGAAAGAACTTGACATCATGTTGCACTGTGGGATCTGACCATTCACGACCAATTAGTCGTTTGGCATCGAATACGGTGTTTTCCGGATTTGTTGTTAACTGATTTTTAGCAGCGTCGCCAATCAATCGTTCACCATCATTAGTGAACGCTACGTAAGATGGTGTGATACGGTTACCCTGATCGTTGGCTATGATCTCCACACGGCCATTTTTATAAACTCCCACACTAGAAGAGAAGATAAATATTATATTTATTTAACTTGCCCATAAAATAGATTTTTGTGTTCAATTATATACATCATAATAATATCCTTACCATGAATATGTTGTACCCAAATCAATTCCTATTACTGTGCCAATATCTTCCTTCTCCTTATCTTCTTTCGCAATTGTGATGACTGCAAGCAGCCCCACTATTAGTAGAGCTTTGGCTCCTTTCATATTGTGTATATATGTCTTACACACTTTACCTATATTAACAATAATTATACAGAATTAACTTCAAAACATAAATTTTTTTTTCATATAGGAAAAATAGAAAACTTGGATACTCTCTTCTACATATATAAATTTCAAAAATATTTATATATTATTAACATTCAAAGATGTTTTTTGGGTTTGAATCGCATTAGTGTCATTTTTATATTGATGTTTCGTGAACATTTCAACTCACTTCATTAGGGTTTCAAGAGCAGCCTGATACTTCATACATATATTATTATAGTTATATGTATTTGTAAACATTTTTTATAAGTTTTAATATTTATATAATTTTTAATAGAGAAATAAATATAGTCAAATTATATAATTATTATTACTATAATTTAATTAGCATAATTAGTATAATTTAATATATACACATATATATATATATATATACATGTGTGTGTGTGTGTGCATATATACGTACATGTATACATGTATGTATGCATATATGCAGATTACAGTCACAAATCTGTTTATAAAAATATTTATAAATATTTTATTTTTATATTTAAAAGTATTTTGTACATGCTAATATAAAACATTTTACTATGTAAAATGGGAGGAGCACTTTTAGTCTTTAAAAAGAATATATCTATATCATTATGCATATTCCATCAGAAAACTTTTTATGCATGCACATACCTTAATTGAATAACATAATAACATAATCAATTTTTACAATGCTAAAAAATGCTATCAGATCCAAACTGGGAGGATTTTGGTCTGATAAGTATGTCACGCGTCATCTTATCGAGTTTCCAAAGATCAAACCTGGTTCAGTGACTAAATTATTACGATTGACACAACTAATAAGCGATCTTCGGAAGCGCATAAATACATGGAAATTTCCACAAGATTCTCAACCGGAAAAATATTGAACAAGTTGCGATCAAACGTGGCAATTTTATCGAATTCTTCAGATATAAAAGAGAATTTTTCTTCAAAATTACTTTGCAAATTAAAAGTGTGAAGGAAAAAAATTGTTTGGAAGCCACGTCAGCTGTAAATGATACCGGTAACTGACAATGGAATGACAGAAGACGTCGGAAAATCCCAAACGTACAGAGATCTCATTTCTAACGAACGCCAACTCCGATTAACGTGTGTCGATGCACATTAATTCCAACAGAGCCTTCTTGATGTAACACGAAAATTTTATTTTGAGAAAAACTAGCGAGATATTTGGAAAATCACTCACCAGTCAAATGTCTGTCGTCAGGTTGCTTGCTGATTGATCTCTTGACTCTCTCAAAGTTGTATTTCGTACAGCGATACGTTGACAAACTGATACAGGTACCGAACACAGAGCCGAATATTAACGGGAACGTTATATCGTGGCCGGTGCGGATTGGAAGCTCGAGAGAAGCGCTGATGGAAGCGACGATACCGATTGGCTGTCGCGCTTACAGCTGGCCGTAATACGTTGGCCCACGTCACGAGTACTCCTTCCAGAACTTTCACGCGATTCGCGGTCGGCTGATTAGATAGAGAGAGCGGACACGTGGACGTCGTCTACGCAAGCTCAAGAAACGTACCAAAAGAGAAATCTCGAGATTTCGACTCTTGATTTCGTCTACAATTCTCGAATTAAAGTATCAACAGTTGCATTATTTCAATTATTATAAGCAGTCTTAAAAAAAAAAACAGAATAGGAACAGTTTAAATTATTTTTTGACACACACATGCGGCATTGTAAAAATATTTCTAATATTAATATTTAAAAAGAAACAATCACAAAATTATTTTATATCGAAGATATTCCAACAAAAACATTAAATATTCTTCAAAATACAACTGAACATATAAGTAGCAAGAAAAATAGATTTGAAAAAGGAGTTTTATCTTCTTTCTTTTTTTCAAGAATAAAATGAGATAATTCTACGAAATGGGTTTATTATCATCTTATTAACAGCTATTTATTTTACAAACATGTAATATTGATATTTTATTTACATACAAGGTGTTTGAAAAGTTGACCAAGCCAAAGTATGAAGGTAGATTAGGTTAATCTGAAGACCGAAAAGTCATGTATCATTTTGTACAAAAATTCGGAATAGTTATTGAGCGATTAATGTAACCCAATTTTTAAATCAATCATATTATACAGACACAATTTTCCCCTCCCTTTTATAGTATCTTTTAAAACTGTATTTGTCCGTTATCTTGGACAATAAAACTAATCGAAACACTATTACGCGCAGACCGCATTATTTTACGTCATTATTTCGCTGGAATTATTTTGAGCTGTCAGTGAAGTACACATTTATAACTTGCTTTTTAGTTGCAACATATCCAGAATCAACGGTGTAAAATATGTTATAATACAATCAGCACCTGCTCTTCTCATAGAGAGTAATATTTCATTCAGTACATTCTCTAAATTGATTGCGCCGTTTTGCGCACCATGATGCAACATGGCATACTCTCCTGAAACTTGATACACAAATATTGGATACTCTGGATGTGCATCTTTTGTCTGTCGCACCACATCTAAATACGGCAATCCTGGCTTTACCATCAGCATGTCTGCTCCTTCATCTACATCTCTTGCCTTAAAATAAAAAAAAAAACAAATAAAAAATAAAGACATTCCATACATATTATACAACCAAAGAACGAGTCTGTGATAACAAAAATAAATAGGGAGAATAAGACTTACGGCAGCTCTAGCTGCTAACCCGTTGCTACCAGGAGGTAACTGATAACACTTGCGATCGCCAAATTTCGGTGCAGATTGTGATGCATCCCGAAAAGGGCCGTAAAGTCCTGACGCAAACTTTACAGCATAAGATAAGACTGCTACTTTATTCAAATATCCAGCAGTAGCTAGAGCTTGCTTTATCGCACTTATTCTACCATCCATCATATCAGATGGCGCAACAATTTGCGCACCTAAATAACATTTTGTTTTGTAAGAAATTTGTATAACAATGATTTTAAAGATAACTTATAACAAAAGTTTATTATAGAAATGTGATATCTCTCTCTCTCTCTCTCTCTCTCTCTCTCTCTCTCTCTCTCTCTCTCTCTCTCTCTCTCNTCTCTCTCTCTCTCTCTCTCTCTCTCTCTCTCTCTCTCTCCCTCCCTCCCTCTCTGTCACTCTACTCTCTTTCTTACCAGCTTTTGCATACGATACAGCGACTTCAGCGATTCGCTGAATGCTGTAAGTATTATTAATACTACCGTCATCATTGAGTATTCCACAATGACCGTGACTTGTATACGCACATAAACAAACATCGCATGCTATTAATAAGTCAGGAAATTTCCTTCTTAATAAGAATACAGCTTGTATAATAGGGTTTTTTGTACTATCAGCATTACTGCCAATTTCATCCTGAAATTACAATTCAATTATCAGATGCTTTATTAGACAGAATTTTTAAATTAAATATATAAAGTATATATAGAAAAGAGAATTAAGTTTTACATATACATAGTTATATAAAATAATACTTCATACATATATTCTATAAATACATAATTGTGAAGCAACAATAGTGCTTATAATAAAGTACTTTTTTTATAACATACTTTCTCGAGATACTGCGATACGCCAAATAAGAGAACTGCCTGCAACCCTTTTGCTACCAAAGGTTGCAACATTTTTTCTAATTGATTAATACCATAGCGATACACACCAGGCATGCTATTAATGGCATCTTTAGCGTTTTTTTCATCTCTAGAATATATGTGAAAAGATTTTATTATATATTTTTAACATATAATATTACGCGTTAATATAATTATTTAGAGAACATTAACTACGCCTAATACCGAATTTGCTTACTTAATGTAATTTTGCACAAATAAAAAGAATCTGTAAAAAGTGTTAGTCTGTTTCGCAAATCGAATAATTAAGCATTAGAATTGCTGATCTCTCGTAGGTTAGGAAATCTGTCATTTTTACTGCATGCAACGATGTGCGTACAAGTAAACGATCAAAGTGATCAGCGCATACTGAGCATGCGCCAAGTTTGGACTAGGACACTGTTTCAAATATTAATGACCATGTTCAGCAGACTGAGCAGATCAGTGAGCGCTTAGTGATTCTTCAATATGATTGGTTTCTACACTTAGATCCAGAGAAGATCTAAAGGCAATCATATTAAAGAATCACTAAGCGTTCACTGATCTGCTCAGCCTGCCGAACGTGGCCAATGGGAGCTCTTTCTAGCTACCATATGTATATCCCTCTACGCGTGCTGGAGGACCACCTTGGGGTTTTAGTGGGTTCAATCCCACACTACGGGGCTCTCCCCCAAGAGTCAGAGTGTGCAAAGGCATTTCCCCAAGTAAGTAAATAAATAAATAAATTAATTAATTAGTTAGGGAGGTATCCGGGGTCTTTCATATGTGTGATGCAAATTCAGCATCCCGTGTGAATTTAAGAATTGAGATTTCAATTCAAAAAACACTCACTTGTAAAAATTTACAAGTAGAATTCGTTACATGTGTATATATATATATATACACGCACAGTTTCCGCACAAACATCCTGCGAATGGCTCGTAAGGCCTTATATATTTCTTGTTGATAATTAATTAATTAATTTAAAAAAAAGAAAAAAAAGCTACCATATACGTAATACTAATATATCGCTAGTCGCGTATCTTCGCGATGAGCATAGACGTAGAATGTATAGACTGCGCGTTCCCTACCTTTGCCATGTTAAGAAAATGTCTTCAGCGTTGAGAGAGACAGCTGGTGTTGAACAGAGGCCTCATCTTTGTCTAGCGAAGTAGTGGGAGAAAAAGAAGTCTTCGCTGATTGAGATAAGGTGCGTTCGCTTTGGGCGCTTTAAGCGTCAGTCTGTCTTTATTGTTGTTTAAATATAGAATAAAGATAGACTGACGCTCAAAACGCGTAAGCGCCCAAAGCGAACGCACCAAAAGCAGCTGGATCTTGCGCGAGAGAGGCTACTATATTGTATGCCAACAATATAACATAGGTCCTGCACCTAACGTTTGGACTTGAGGTCAGCACTCTACTAGCGATATATTAGTATTACATATATGCCAGCTACGTACACAGGTGACACTGTGTAACACAGTGTCCATTAGTGTGAGAAAGAGCGTATCAGTGTGTCTCACTCATACTAGTGGACACCGTGTTGCACAGTGTCGCCTGTACGTAGCTGAAAAGCTCCCACTGACAGTACTGAAAATCTATAGGTTCATGTTTTATGTATCCTATAGATTTTTCAGTATTGCCAGTAATAACCGAACAAAGCCCTAGTGTGCAAAAATGTAACTACACGTTGATAATTTTTAATAAAACTCCACGACCATTAAAATTATCATATTAATATATGTAACACAGTTATAATAATTACCATATAATATGATGATATCATATTAGTATATATGTTGCTGATATAATTAAGAATGTACAATAAAATCTTTCATATATTAGAGATAAAAAAGATATTAAAGATGTCATTAATAGCATGTCTGGTGTATATTGACATGGTATTAATCAATGAGAAAAAATGTAAAACTAACAAATGTAAAATGTCAAATTATTGAGATGTAAAACTTACTAAACAGTGCAAAGATTGTGCATGCAAAGCAAAATTTTACACTGAAATTTCTATGCAACACTTTCAATTTCATTGATGGTTCTCACATCTCCAAATTTTGTTATTTTTGTTTATGCAAGAGAGTACAAGAAAATAGAGCGAAGTTCTATTTTCTTATGCGTTCTCACTAAAGTATATAATCAAGGAAGCTGATAGTACTGCCTATAAGTTCCAGTATAAATTTCATTTTACATGGAATTTCAAAAACTTACATGGAACATTCTATAAGCTCCGTTAACATTTGATTGTTGAAATACAAGTTAAATCTACTATATTTCAAAATGTGTAGTATAAGTCCCTTTTAAATTAAACTCCAATGCATGCACATGTGACCATAACGTAGCTCACATCGCTACAGACTGTTGGAATAACAGATTTCTTAACCTAACCTGAGTATATAATAGTCGTCAAGAGTTTAGCGCTTAATAATTAGCTTTGCGAGGCAAGCCGACGCTTTTTTCTTGCGGATTTTTTTAATAATCCAGTATCATACTTACGACACGAATATGGGATACATAAGATTATTAGCAGTGATTTCTACATTTGGTGACTGCCACTGTCTTAAAACAGGATGAAAAATTCCACTGTGCAGAGTATGTTTAGCGGAAATGGTTGTCTTCATTTTCCTTTTTGTATTACTGTCTTATCTTATTTATATAGTTGTTGTATGCGACTTGATCTTTTATCGATATGATATCTATGTACAGTTCTAAACAATTTTCACATTTAAAGCAAATTAAATAGATGTTATTCTAATTATAAAAAAATTATATCAAATGTACGTACATTTCTTTGAGCAACGCACTAACGACTGAATAAGTGACTAAATTAAAAAATATTTTGATGAATAACATACCACGGTTTTGGTGCGCTTGTGTGCTTGGACCGAAATCGGTTAATCCATACGCCAGTCTGTCTGAATGTAGATATAAAGAATGTTATAGCAAATATATATGCTAAGGAATCTAAAAGTTATGTTGTCGATTGAAGAAGACCGTGAATCGATACTTCCGCGACGATGGTTACTCACTTTGTAATCGCCAATTAGATAATATACCACGTAAACACCGTCCCACGACTCCCATGTAAACAATAGATGCGCTCAGACGATTCAACAACAGTGCAGTGATGAAAGATTTGACCGGCCAGCACCAAAAGCACTGAGGTGGTGGGAGCCACTGAGAGCACGCATACAAGCGAACCGCCGTCCGTGTGCGTGACGTCACGCACACGGACGGCGGTTCTTGCTTGTGTGCGTCTCCCAGTGGCTCCCACTCTTGGTGCTGGCCGGTCAAATCTTTCATCACTGCTCAACAGTTGCACAACGGTTGAGAGATAATCACTTATGATTGGATCATACTTTTGAAATCGTAAAGCCTATGTCACACTACGGATTGGGATTGAAATTGGATTGAAATTTGACCAATCAGAAGAAAGAAAACCAATCCTAAATTTAGTGATCTTCGCTCTGATTGGCTCCAATTGCAATCCAATCTCAATCCTAAAGGCCGAAGCACAGACTTTTGCACAACGCATAAGACATAAGAAAATCAACCAATCCAACTTTTTGTTTTCATCCCTACTTCTTGTTCTAGAAAGCTTTGATTGGTTGATTCTAATATGTCTTATGCGTTATACATTATGCAAAAGTCTGTGCTTCGGTCTTTAATCTAACTCTAACCTGTATGCTCAAATCAAATCTACTAACCTCATCTTATATAGCTACCTATCCTAACCCGAGCAAGAAGAAGAACGTATTCTCCACCTAAAAAAAAGTAGTGAATAGTAGTGAAGAGAGTAGAAATAATGACGGACGCTTCGGACTTACCGGGCGCATCCACGAGTCAGAGGACGATGTCGAAGTTGTTACGACAATGGGCTCAAGAGTTCCTCACTTTGCGAAAACATGCGAATAATTTAATAGACATAATCAGCCACTGGGATGTAAGGAAAAAAACTAAAAAACCACGTGTAACTTACATGTTCGGTGCTTAAAGCTAAGAAAATTTAACAGATTTCTCTTTTGTTCCTAGGACTGTACTATTACGTGTCTACTCACTCTTGAAACGATATTCACGGAAGTGCTTAAACGTGGCGATATGTATCTTGAACGTACCATAGCTCTTACTATTTCAGGTAAATCCAAGCTATATCTGTTAATGATCTCAGAGATTTTCGTGTGTGCAAGATTTTGCACGTATTTATGTATTACATTTAAATACATTTTAAATACATGTATGTATAAATACTTTGTATACAACTTTGTGTGTACATTTCATTGTTATGTTGTATGAAACAGAACCTAGCGCTGAATTTCGCTACATTACTTGGCTGAGAAACTGTTATGAAGAAGTTTGGAAGAAAGTATTATTATCTATGGAAAGTAGTCGATTAACTATTCAGCTGCAGGTTCTTACCACAGCAATAAAATTGATGGCAGAAGAGGGTAGAACACCGTTAGAGCCATGTGACAATCCAGGCTATCACTTTCCTCTACATCGTCTAAGACCCATTCTCATGACATTACTCTCACCTGAAAAAGACAATACCAATTTAATATCAAGATTTCAAGAGATTGCTGGATATCCTGATGCTCTGTATTATACATGGAAATGCCTACCCTCTCTTACACCAAAAAGACAACCTCAAGAAATTTATATTAAGAATTTGTTAGAGCTTATAGACAAAATACCAGTGCCAAAGGAAGAAGGTACGGTCTTTTTTAAAACTTATATTATGTTTGGTGAAATGAGAACAATTCAAATGTAAGAATATTCCAATGTGTGTGTGTGTGTGTGTGTATATATATATATATATATGCATATATGTGTGAATGTGTTTGTGCATTTTAGGATCCAAACTATCAGACAATAAAGAACTGTTATGTGGATCACAACAAGGTAAAAACATAGATACATGTTCTACAATTAGTAGTTTTATGTTTTTTGTAAAAAGTGTTTTTTGTTTTCTTTGTCTATAATTCCATCACTTGAATTGTTCGTCAGGTGCTACATTTACATGGGATCAATTTGCTGTTAAACGCGCATTAAACAAAGTCTGGGCTTGTGTTATGCACTGGGAATTAACACCGCAGTTACACAAACAGCTGTTAATAGTTTTATTAGAACGAATTATGTCACATCTAGATAAACCATTGTTATTAACTGATTTTCTGATGGATTCACTAGACGCGGAAGGTTCTATTAGCGTGCTTGCATTACAAGGTGTATTTATATTGGTCACTAAGCACAATCTAGAATACCCGAATATTTTTACCAAGTTGTATTCAATGTTTGAACCTGAGATCTTTCATACAAAGTACAAAGCTCGTTTGTTCTACTTATCTGATCTATTCCTCAGTTCAACGTAAGTATCTTATATTTTCAATATTGTGAAAACATGTAATAATAATATACTAAAAATTATACATGTACACATATATATATATAACTATTGTTATAAGATTTGAAAATTTCGGTGTTTTTTTAGACATTTGCCAGAAACGTTAGTAGCCGCATTTGCGAAGCGACTCGCACGTCTAACGTTAGTTGCGCCACCGGAAGACATTCTAATAATCCTGCTTTTTGTGGGCAATCTGTTGTTGCGACATCCTGGGCTGAAGAGGTTGATTGATCACCCACAAGGCGGCGAAGTTACTTCATATGCCACAATGGGCGCAGGCGACCCATTTCTTATGGAGGAGCGTGATCCATTGCTAAGCAATGCAATGCTCAGCAGTCTCTGGGAGATTCGTGCATTACAACAGCACATTTTACCCAGTGTGGCCAGTGCTGCGCAATTCATTCGCGAGCCACTGCCTTCAGTCGAATACGATATGGCATCGGCACTGGAGCGTAATAGTGGCTACATCTTTGATCGCGAACTAAAGAGTAAAGTCAAAGACATCATGTTGACATTCGAAAGACCAACCTCTATGGCGTTACTGAAAGGGGAAAAATTATTGCAATATTGGCAACTCACAAGTACATATTGATTCTATAAGTCAAGAGTGCAATATGTTAGAAAAAAAAAATTTATAGTTGGAAAATGAGACTAAAACACGCGATGGATTATTTACTACGGTAAAAAATAAATACTTTTGTGTTTTTATACAGCATATCTATGGTAAGAAAAACAACAGCGTATTTTTTGTGCAGCGTTGAGCATCTACATTTAAAATATCGAGACGCTTCAAATTGTACTCTGAATAATTTAATTTTTATAAAACAAAAAATGATACTTTTTGTTTCGACTGATAAAATGTACACACGTGTGTGTGTGTGTGTGTGTGTGTGTGTGTGTGCGCGCGCGCGCGCGCGCGCGTGTGTATGTGAATTTTTAATATATATCGATATATATTCTGTGAAAAATATATATCTATATAATTCTACGTATAGAAGATTACGTAAATGCGCAACGCTGACATTACTTAATTCTTTCCCTGCTTTTGTTATTTTTATTTTACAAAAATCGATAGAAATGATGGAACATATCATTAGTTTTTGTTTTATACATATATCAATGTAAACGCATGTATAGTGAAAAATGTTAATAATTATTATTTGTAACAACTAACTTGTTATCCACTATATTTCAGACACGTTGCATGTAGCTGAATAATAATTTTTTAATTAAAAAAATAGAAACGAACTATCCTTAGTATACTCATCGCGGCGAAAGAATTGAATCTTTTCACATTATGAACAATGAAGTAAGAAAGTCAAATAACCGACATATGATTAATTAATTCGAATATATAATATTGTAGATAAAAGTTTTGTAAACTTTGAATAAGTTTTACGGATTACCAGATATAACTTTCTCTAATCTATTTGTAAACTTCAAATTTGAGATAATAAATTATAAATATTTTACTCTAATAGATAAAGATGTGATTTGCTTTCACGATATAACGTTAAAATAGTATACAATGTATATACCCACACAGTTTTGTATTTGATATATGTATATAGGCATATAGGCATGCATATGTAATAATTCAATTGTAATTTTATTTATAATACTCTAAATCATACACTTCTCTCTTTATACATATATAAAATTGTGTTATCATCATCTTTTTGATACACGTCCGAACACATTTTCATATATTTGCGTTCCATTGCAAATTGTCTGTGTGTGTGTGTGTGTGTGTGTAAATACTTTTATGTACATCATTAAATCGATAAACTATTTTTCCGGTAATATCATGTCTGACGTTGCTTTGTATCCAATGACTAGAAAAAAAAATACGACTTATTAATTTTTGCTGAATAAATTGCAGTAAAAAATTGTTCAATTTACTTTTTAGATACACATAAATCTTGCATACAAATATGTACACACAGATTTTATATGTAATAATGAGAATGCATTCTTTACTTTTCAAAAATTAAAATTATCGGAATTAATATTGGACACAACAAAAAATAATTAATGAATATTTCACCTGAATAAACTGTTGCCATTCTTCGTTGGTCAAAGCAGTTTTTATCTTCACGAGAATGTTTCCTGGAATATTCGGACTAAGTGGCGTGATATTCTGTGTAGTAGGTACATACTGGATTTGCAGCAATTCAGCTACCGTGGGTCTGGCTTTCGGATTATGTTGAAGACATTTTCTTATTACATCAATCAAAAGAGGCGGTACGCGCTCGGAATTTGCGGAACTATACGTCGTGGCCGGAAAAGTGATGTTCGGTTTCGGATTAGTTATAGCGTTCACTTTTGCCCAGTGAGAACGTATATGATGAAAAGGTGTATATCCGTACACTAGACTGTACAGAATACAGCCCAACGACCATACATCTGACTTGAAACTTATCTGTTAAGAAGCAAGGACATGAAATTAATTTTCGAGATACTCACCTAATTTATTTTTGAATTTATGATTCTCAATCGCGACTAACACAACATCAATTTATCAATTTTAAAAAATTTAATTATGTCCCGATCAAGATTGCTTAGTCATTGTCACATTGTCTCACCTTGTATTTGACATTATGAGTCGGCGAATTCGGGTTTCCGCCGGTGTCCATCAAAGCTTCTGGACTGATGTAATTTAACGTTCCAATTGGATTATCTTTTACAACGGATGTCATATCTGAATTTATACTGGAAGCAATTCCGAAATCTATCAGCTTTAGTCTGCCGCGTACCAATAAAAAATTTCCTGGTTTCAAATCAGAATGTATAACACCTAGCATAAAAATATTATTTAGCATGTTATAGGACAAAATATACAATTGTTTAATAAGCAATATTCAAACATGTATTAATTTTTACCATTCTCGTGTATATATTTTACAGCTGTGAGCATTTCGGTCCAATAATATAGAATCATTGTGAGAGAAAGTTGCTTTTCATCCGACATTGATTTTAGGAATCGACTAAGATCAGTATCACCCATTTCCATCACTACATATACCATACATCCTTTGATTTCACTGCAAAAAAAAGATTGAGTTTTTCTTTTAAAAGCAAATTAATTTAATTTTAAATTAATTTTGTCCAGTGAATTTTCTCAGTGAGGAAAAAGTTCTGTCAGAGATCTATTGTTACTTTTAAAGATCAAACGGTCTTGTTATTTTACAATTCTATTATGTGTGTGATGTATACTCACTAGTCGAACATTTTGACAATGCAGGACGCCTGTAACTTACGCAGCATAGAGATCTCGTCCAAGCAACCCTGGGACGTGTCCTTGTCCATTTTACTCAAGTCCACACACTTGATTGCGCGCAACTCGCCGCAGGATAAGTCTTGCACCCGCAGAACCTCACCGCACATTCCTCGACCAAGACAGCCTAGAATCATGTACTCTCTGTTCTTCACAAACAAATTTTTTTCCTGCCATTGTTGAGGAATACTCGATGGTACGCTGAATTGCACGTTCGCCACTTGGTCTACGACTTGCCGCAATTTTTCGTGCTGTTTCTCGTGAACGACGTTATTATCCGTATTGTTTTTCGAGGAATCCTGTATTGCTTGTACACCTATGTCAAAACCACTCATTACTTGTTTACTTTTACAACTTTTATCTTGCGTAGTTTTCCTATTGTTTTCTGGCAATGTATCCGGAACATCAGGCTGCTCATTCTCTTTTGTTTCTTCTATTAGTTTTGCCGGTTTCAGATCTGAGTGATAACTCTCTTAACGAAATATAAAATTATACGTAACAATTTATTATTGTATATATAAGTAGTTATAATGCTTACCTTTATTGTAATTTGTTTCTGTTTTCATTAATTTTTTAATAGAATTTACTACTCTTATAGTTCTGTCTTCTTGATACGGTTCAGGTTTAAGACTTTTCGCTTCGATACCTGTGTGCGATACGTAAGACTTAGATTCTAAAAAATGAGTCGAGGAATCACCGTGTGTCATAGTATCAGCTAAAGGTTGTCTCACGTTCTTCAAATGTCTGTAATAAAATTCTATTAATATTCTGAAATTGTTCAGCAGTGCAGCATGCAGTACGCTTTTTAAATAATAATATAAAGTGTATTTATTACGAGCCTCATAGGTTCTGGTTTCTCTATAATAGGTGTACAGACTATATTCCTTAACGTTTGCACATGATCTTTCGTTGTAAAACTTTTTCCTTCGATAGGTGTTTGTCTCATAGTATTATGACACCAAGTAGAAAATATCGTGGAAGGAGTTTGAACGTTACTCTTGCTCGGTTCACTTGACAATTTGCTCTGCGGAGTTTGGAACAGTTGCTTGTGCGACATAGATGGATTTGGATGCATTGAGCCATGTAGAGACTTCAAAGGAGTTTCTGCCATTAAACGATTCATCGCAGTTAACGATTTCCCCATTTCACTCAATGAGGGTGTACATGCACTTTTTGCTGGTGTATATTTCTCGTTTGTTTCATTTGCGCTGCTATATTGTGAATTATATCGTGTAAAATGCATCATACTTGCAGATGTTTGAGGTACACAAGAGCCTGATTCCAGCACAGTATTTGGAACCTTGTGAAGTTCATCTTTATAACTCTTACTTGATTGCTCTATAAAACCATGTGCCTTATACTGTTGATCCCCTTTGCTTAAATTTAATTCGTCACTGTTTTGTGATAGCATCTTATTCTCTATTGATGTACTATATATATGTTCTTCTTTTTTTTTATTTAATATGTCTTCCATATGATGCATGGAGATAGATTGCATATTTTTGTACGTACCAAAATGTGTGTTACAATAAGATTTGTGAGCTGTATATAAGACAGATGACGAAGGTAAACTAGATTGTAACATTACATCTGTCAAATCATCACAAACAGTATCAACTTTGAGCCTTTCTAAACTATCAACTTCAGGACTTTTTATAGCACACATATCACTGTGTCTTTCCTGTATCTTTTCAAACTTGCAGCTGTGAGAATCTTCTTTATTTGTGTTACTGATTAATACATTACTTTCAGAACTTACAAATCCAAGTTTACTTTCTTTCTTACTATATGTACTACCTTCTTTTTGCATAGGATTAGTTTTTGAGCATCCTTCTTCTAAATAAGACATAGAGTTTGTGTCTTTTTTTTTCTGAGATGATGTTTCCAGTATATCTTTAGAACAATCATTTTGTGGCATAAATTGTGATTTATCAAAATCTAATTCACTTTCAGATTTACAAGCTTTCTTCTCAATTTTATTATTATCATCATCATCATCATCATTATCATCATCATCCTCATCACTTTCAAGCATGAGTGCCTTGAGATGTACTGGCTGAGATTTTGGCAGTGTGACATTATGTTTTAATATTCTACTGCTAATATTATCAAAACTAGAACTTCTATTTGCTGGAAGATCCGACATTATTCGAAGATTTCCAAAACACTTTACACTGATTTATAAAAACGGAGCTTATGCTGCAAAAATCAGATACATCGTATTGAACAACAGAAACTACTTTATGAAAAAATTGTACTATGATAAAAAATTATAAAATATTAAGTCACAATAAATTATAATAAAAGAGTTTCTCTTTTGCAATCTTTACCTGATTTGGCAACTTTGTTTGGATCGACAAATTCAATAATCCTCACTTGTCAAAATAAAGCTCAATTCACTAAATTGTCGAATAAATAAAGAAATCAACGATAATTTATGTTTGTTACTCTTGCCCTATTACAAGATGTCATGTAAAAATTTATTTACCTAATGCGTTTACGTATTAAGATGTCAATATCACCTCATTACCACGCTTTCTTGACTCGAATGCTATCAAATGCTTTCGGCTTGTGTTTGCCTTTACCGGCTATTACATTCCAAACATACTTCTGATATTTAAATCCGTCAGCGTAACGTTTATTGGTTTATATGTTAGTAATCTATTATAATATAGCGTTTTTGATTAGTTGAATCGCTCCCGTTTAATGACATCATTTGGCACATCGACCAATCATGGCTGTGTTCCAAATTTATTGCCAACACGCTGCCAGTGCTAAAATTGTATAATATATGTGACGTAAACTATAGATCTTTATCGCTGGCAGTGAATTTTGGAACACAGCTAATGTGTAATAGCACGCTGTAGCCCTATTAGCCAATTTTTTCACTTCCTAGATAAGTTTCCGATAACTTTATCTAAAAGATATCTTCCAAAATTGGTTTTCAGAGGAATTTATCCAGAGAATAGCTATCGAGAGGTATGAAGAAATCGGCCGAAAATTGGTTCTTCTTATTGGTTCTCAGAGGAATTTATCCAGAGAATAGCTATCGAGAGGTATGAAGAAATCGGCCGTATGTCTATGGCCAGAGAGAAGCCTGAGAGCGGCCATGCCATTGTAGTTTCTTACGACGGTTTCAGCCGCTGGTTTTAGCCGTATTTCCACAAAAGTGGAACTCAAAGGCCGTTCTACATTAAACGCAAGTAACAGATCACGTGGAATTGACCAATTGCAGAGTCAAATCAGCCAATCGACCAACGTGATTGATCAGTTCCACGAGACCTGCGACTTGAGTTTCATGGAGAACGGCCTTTGAGTTCCACTTTTGTGGAAATACGGCTAAAACCAGCGGCTGAAACCGTCGTAAAAAACACGAAGTAAGAATAAGGAGACTTAACTACACAAAGTAAAAGTGGCTATGAAAAATGTTCCGTGTAAGAGGAGGTTAGCTAAACAGAATAACTTGCAACATTTTATCGCCATCTTGAAATTGTAAATGACAGATAGTAAGAAAAGATTGTAAAGGTTAGAAGAGTACACAGAGAGCATAAAACGTATGAAAATAAAAGAAAAAAATAAGATATAATAATAAGATATAATAATTTTTACT